CAGGTGGGGCTACGCAGGTTTTGGTCCACGTTTCCACTTACCAGGGTTCCATTTTGGGTGCCGGTTTTTTGAGCCACAGCCACATATATCCGAATTTGTCAACCCATTCACGGGTCCATGGCACTCGGACGCCCGCGCCGCGCCATGTCTTGGGGCTGCAGGGCGCGCGCGAAGCCAAAGTCTGCAAGCTTCAGCACGGGATCCATCGAGCCTTAGCTCAGCTCGGCTCCCTCACCTTCTATAGGTCCTCCAGTAGAGAGGTTAGAATACGGGCACCAACTTTTTTCTGTAGTCTATTTTAGTAGGGGAACCCTCCCCCAAAAACGAAACGGCAAAAGGGGCACTACTGGGGGACCTAGTCTTTGTGACTTCAGTAGGGGTGGGTGGTCAAAGGGCGGGGATTCCCTAAAACTCCCTAAACACTGGGGGCCCGAATGGCTTTGCTTTTGGGCCAATCCCTAAAGCCTCCCCTTCTCGGAGTCTGAAAATCGTTGACCAACCATCCTGAAGTGAACTTGCGACCTGCGCTGCGCGTCTTGGATGGGCCTAGCTTCAGATGAGATGAGCAACTTCCCCAGAGAAACCAAGGCCGAACGAAGCCCAATATGCAAAGCCCAGGGGGCGTCAAAAAGGACGAGATAGAGGCGGAGACAATCCGCTCAGATAGGCAAAGTCGGCATGTCTGGGGGCTCCACCAAAAATGGTGTCTGTTCCCGTCAAACACCCCGAAAGAAGATCAAGCATCCTCAAACGAACATGCTCCATACTTGCAATTGCTGATGCCAGAGTCTACCCCCCCGGCACCGATAGGACAAAGTGCAGGCGAAGGATTCTAGGGCCGAATCACGTTTCAGACGATTGAAGTGCGAGTGCTGGGGAGTTGGCAGCGGCACCGGAAAGCGTTCCCTCCAAGGATATGTTGTTCTTGCAGGCAAGCAAAAGTGAATGTGGATGCTGCTTGGGAAAAAACAAGAACTTACTTCCTGAGTGGGCTGGCCAAACAAAACTCTGAACCTGTTCTTTTCCACTTAAATTGTCTTCTCAACAAAATTGAAATTCCAGGAACTCAGGGAGTGAGAAAAAGAGCGAGAAATCAACCCCCTAGCCTCCTTTGTCGGGCTTTCATCGTTCAACTCAAGTCCGCCGTGGCAAGGAAACAAAGCTGCGGACGTCTCAGGCTCCTGCAATCACTGAGCAGAATGTTCTGCGGTTTCAGGTCCCTGTGCAAGTGGTTGGAGCTATGAAGCACCTGGCTGTCTGAGAAAACCTGTCAGCAAACATGTGCTTGAGTTCAAGCTTGTTGCACTTCAATACTCCACAAAGCAAAGCTGAAAGGTTGCCAACTCAGCGGCTATCTTGCTCACTTGGCTAATCAAAGAAATGTAGGCTGCAAGAACCCACTGTGCACCCACATAGATGCCTTGAGGCACCCCCAAACAGGTGGAACTGGAGGCCCTCATTCTGATTCCATGGGCCCAATCGACCTAGCCTGGGCTTCTTTGGGGGCCTGGGACAAAAATCGCGTGGGTCTACCAAGGATGACCCTGAGCTCTAGGGGTTGGTTCCCCATTCTTTTCAACCATCCTTCTTTTCAAAAACCAGCTGTTTCCCGTGTTTTTTTTTTTTTTAGAAAGAAGGATGCCTCTCGTTCAGCTCCGTCGCAATCCCTTCAGGTTGAAGAAGGGGGAGGCCTTGGCAACCTTTAACCATACGATTTTGGGATGGTCTCTGGCAGGGGGCAACACGTGCTTTAACAGAACATGGATGGCTTTCATCATGGAAGCCAAGAGGTTCTTTAAACAATGTTAGCTTGACCGGATTTGGACATGCTCAACCAAGTCTTCCATTTGCTGAAGCCCCCTGGAAAAATGATAATCGTTCTAGTCTAGTAATGATAGTTTCTCTTCAAAACCCGGAGGCGAAGCAACCACCTGAGACACTTCACAATCTTCTTCTGCTCCCGGATTCATCAACCTGTCCTATTGTGTTGTTTCTTTTTGGGGGGGTGGTTTCTTCAAAAGTGGTCCGGTGAAATCGCTGGAAACAAGAAGCCGCCCGCTAACCAATGGGAAAACGAGTAGCCCAGTAGCACCTCATGCGCCCCACCAAATATTAACTGCAGCCCATGGCAGCGGTTGACCCGACCCTGGGCCACCTCCCTCCCATCCCATGTTGACTCCCCGGGCACCGATAGACCGCTGGCGATCTGCGTGAGAAACCGCCGCGCCGTCTGGGCAGACGGATGGTGCGAGGCGCGATGGCGAGCCTGAAAAAGAAGCCACCAGTTGGATGAATTGAATTATTTTGGGGCTCATTGCGACTCATTGCCTGCTGAGACACCAGCAGGGGATGGCTTTAATTGAGGGCCGCCTTTGAATGTCGAAAGAGAGATTTCGGTATGAAGTTTCATTGGGGGCCCTTGCGTGGGCATCAAGTTCATCAGGGATTTACGTCCACCAACCCTTTTGCAACGCAGGTCCTGAAGCGCAGCCGAAGAAAACAGGAGAATCGAGACCTTCCAATTTTTGCCCCGGTGTGGTCTGTCAAAGATTTCAAAGACCTAACCTAACAAGGGAAATTCCAAAATTCTTCGGATGGCTCGACGCCTCCCAGCCAAAGTTTGAGGTGGGGACCATCCCCTTACAGATCGATGTAAGCCAAAGCGAGCTCGATGCATTTCGCGCCTCCTCCTGTACTCGCCCCTTCCTTGCCGACCGATCGAGCTAATTCAATGGCCAAGCCCTGAAAATCAAGGGGAATTGGGCAGGGCTAGTGGCTGAAGGGACTCACACCACTGGAGGGATCGCAGTCTCCTTGCAAAAGGGCACCCAGTTTGGATAGACCTTGCACCCAAAGTACACGGTAAGGCAGCCGCACACTACACCAACTCTCAAGCACCCAATGAGCAGGAACAATTCATGCTTTTTTCACACTGGCAATCTGCTCAGCCAAGCGGGCTTCGACGTGTTTTGAGCGGGCTTAGGGATGTTGAATACATCAAACATGGCTGTAACATGGTGCTTAGGTGCTTAGGTGCTTAGGTGCTTAGGTGCTTAGGTGCGGTATTGCAGCGGGACAATTTCCTTCCTAGCTGAGAGGCATGAGGGCCTGGTTCGTTCAACGCCGTCAAAGCTGCCGAGCTGGGGTTGCCGCGCTCGCAGGAACTGGGACAAGTCTCCGCCTGCACAGTACCTCAAGCCCAGCAAGTTCGAGAAGAACAACCCAACGATGTCCAAACCTCTGTTGCCAGTACCCCACCATGTCCCAAGATACCTGAACGTTGCAAACACTTGGGGCTGGTTTTTTTCGCCCAATGTTGCTTCGCGAAGAGCAGAAGCATGGGATGCCACTTCGTTACGCAGTTCCAAGTGGGAGGCCACTGACCTAGGAGCTCCAACTTCTGGCATCGATCCTCTCCAGGGGGATTTGCGATCCCTTCAGCTGGAAGATCACATGTGACGTTTGCGTCCCTTGCACTTGCCACTCACATGGCCCTTGCCAACTCCAGGACTCAGATTTGGGTGTCTCTTTTTCAGAGTTGGACCCCAAAATCCTGCTTTTTTCTTCTGGTTTCCGATTGAAACCCAACCAAACCGACCCAGAGTTCCGGCCAGCCGCTTCCCAACAAAACCCAACGCCATCATACGCCACCAAAAGTACCCCCCCCCCCTTCCCGGGCCCCTTGAATTTCTGAAACCCCACGAAACCGATAAAAGAATTCGGGGTCACTCCAGGACCAGATAGAAGTGAGCAGGGCTCTTCTTCAGGTCCCGGAAGCGAACCTCAAGCCCCGCGAGCCAGCTAGCCCGGGCTGTGGTTAAAGCTGAGGCTGGTTGGTTTGGAGGCTCCTGGACACCATTTCCGAAGAAGAAGGAAAAACAACATAAATACAAGGCAAAACCAAACCATTTCCGGAAAACCATGGGTTTAACTTGGTTCCTGAGTTCACTGGCCAAGAAAGCCCCATGAAAACCCATGGGTCTAGCGAGCTCAGTTCCTGAGTTGACTGGGCAAAAAAGGAGCCAAACCTTTGTCTGCTACTAACATGGTCTTCCCAAATTTCAAGTCCATGAACTTAGGGAGTGAGTGAAGGCCTGTGAAAAACAAAATCTTCGGATCTGGTCGAAGGCCCGAAGGATGAAAGGACACCAACACGTCTGCCGCCGAATGTTGAAACCGCCAAGCCGCGATGTTGGGGTGCGAGATCTTGCGCAATACCTTGCTGGCCACAGGGCATCGATTTGACACGCGTGGCGCTTCTCAAAGTGTTCTCAAAGTGTCAGTCTTTCTCGGATTTTTGGGGTCGAGTCTTCGAGATGTCCAAAAACCGAGCCAAAAGCCTTCAATCCTTAGGAGGGAAACAAACACTTGATTTCTGGAGTTCAGCTCCGCCTCAACCTCTTGCCGCAACTGCGCCGTTTCGGTGATGGTCTGGCGGCTGATGACCTCACCCCAAAAGCTGAGAGTTGCCAAACATTCGCTCGCAAAGGATGCCCCTAAATGCTCTGCAAAGGCCCCTCGTTCGCTCTTTGAGCCAGGATGCAAGCATATGTGCCTTTAGGAGACGCCAAAACATGGGTTGGTTTCGGAAGCAAAAGGGCGTACCCTCCTCAAAGCCAGATGTGTCGCATCTTCGGTGCCACTGCCAAAACAAGACCCTCACCAGGCATGGCCATTTACTTGTTTCAGCCAGCAAGCAAGCAAACACACACAAAACAATCAAGCAAGCAAACACACAAACAAGCAAACACACAAACAAGCAAAGAAACAAACAAACAAACAAACGGCACTACACATACAAACAAAACAACACAAACAAACAAAAGAACCAGACCAAAAGGCACAAAGCAACAAACAAAAAGCAGAACAAGAAACCTGGCAGCAAGATCCAATGATTGAGCTCCAATTCCGTCTGTGCAACTAGGTCCTCCAGATTTCAGCGCTTAGAATCTCTGTTGGTACCCGCTTTTTTCTGTCTACGGGGTTCATCGATCTAGGGCTTGATTCCTTTTGTCTTTTCAGCCATCCTTTAGTCTATTTTAGGGGAAGCCTCTCCCGGGCACTGGGGGACCTCTTGGCAAACATCTCCTCGCTCTCGAGCTCGCTGCCTTGATTGCCACCAGCTCGTGTTCTCAGCTAGCGGCGGTGACGGTCGACTTTTTCGCCGTGGGTTCATTTGGGTCCCAAGAGAAGCCGAAAGGAAAACCACCAATGTGTCCAATTTTTTTCCAGTTTTTTTTTTTTTAGTAGGGGAACCCTCCCCCAAAAAAGGGTAACAGGGCACTACTGAGGGACCTGGCAATTGTGGGTAAAGTGGCGAACCGCTTGCTAACTTGGCAACGGACACACGGCGGATTGGACAGCGGAGTTCACCACTTCTTCTTGGCGGGCTATAACCCACCCCATCTACCTTGGCGAATCGAACATCCACTCACTTGCCCAAAGGACCCAGACATAAAAGGTTCACCTTTTGGGGCCATGACTCAAAATGGACCAAAAAGGGGAAACTCAAAAGGTCAAAAGGTCGGCTTTGGGCAAGTGAGTCCAAGTAAACTTCTCCAGCTCTCCTTGCCAAGCGTCTCTCATCCCGGCCCTTCCATACCGTGGCATAGGAGCCTTTCCCGATTTTCCTGGCGAGAAACCGAGGTCTTGCTCTGGCACTGGGTGGCATGTCGTCTTGTCAAAGGCATGTTGGGTATGCGTCCGAATGGAATCCTGCAAAGTGTCGGAACAAAACGTGCGCAGGGCTTCCTCTCACTTCCTGAGTGGATTGGTCCACAAAAAGTCAGTCCCAGCTTGGCCTCCAGACCCAAAAGGTCTAAAGTCCAGGAACTCAGGAAGTGAGTCCCTGTGAACCAACCCAAACCGGCAAACCCAAGCACCCCGTCGCAGCGAGTGACTTCTCTCGCCCCGAGGGCCTTTCGAGCAGGTAGCCAGCCACCTGTTTCTTGGCCACGGGCCTCACCTCGGCGTTCCATCGACGGGAGAGCCCCAAAAAACCCCCAAAGCCGCCGTGGTTCTCAAAAGCTCCACAGCCGCCGTGCAAATTCTCTCCTGTGTCTTTTTCTGCTTTTTGTGGGGGAGGGGGGGAGTGGAGGGCCCGGTCCTTGGTGAGCTAAACCACAGTTTGCCCTTTTTGTTGGGGGTGGGGTCCCCTCAATTACAAAAAACCCAATCGGAGCCAAGTGGAGCCACTGAGTGCCGCACGCCGGCTTCCATCGATCTGAGTCGAATTCCGGGGGATTGAAACTCCAAAGCCATGTGGACGAAATCCACGCCCACCAGTTGGCACTTGGATGTTCAACCTGGTTATAACCAAGGTCATAACTAAAGGTTAGGTAGCTTATAACCGTGGTTCATCCTACTTAAGTAGGATGAAGATCCAAGTCGGTGTCTATTCCAGGCAGTTGGTTGCTTTCTGAAAATTGGGCATATTCATCCGCGCAACGGATGTTGCCCAGGAACGAGAGCCACGGGAAGGGCAAGAATGGCCATTCTTGCCATTCTTTCGCTGCAATGGCCTCCGTTACCACTGAAACTACACATTACTTCAGGCACGTAACCAACCCACATGGCCATGCGTGCCCAACAGGCACCGCATGGGGCGTTTTGATTGAAACAAGCCACTAACAAAGTGAAGGGGTGGCTCCAACCTTGCTATGGGTACCTCTGAGCCTATGTGGGTCCGTAAGGGCCCAAATAGCTTGCCCAAAATCCATGCAAACGGAGAGTCTCGATTCGCTGTGAGTTTCAGAAGGATTGGCCATGCAAATTCACAACTAAACGACTCGGGGAAAATGAATTGTATCCTTCGCATGGTGGCTGAGGCGTTATGATGTACACTGGTCAGCAATATCCACTTTGCACTTGGAATGAAACCATACCGTCACCGGTGCCTGCGTGCAAATGTCGTCCATTCGGTAGAATTATACCACCACTGAATGGGTGTGTGTCAAAATAGGGAAACACAAAAGAAGGTGATTTCGTTGTTGGTCTCCCTTAAAACCAGACTGAAACGGGTACCGGGGGCAAAAAAACAGACATACACGCATGTGTATGTTTATATCTCTCTCTATATATATATATATATCCCATGTTTCAGGTGTGGTTGCGTAGGGTTGGTTTACTTTGAATTAGTACGCCCACCGAACCACGCCCCCTGCAAACAACTGGGGGAAACCCCCTCGCGAGCCTCGCGCCGGGCGCTTGCGGGCGAGGGCGACAAGGAATTTCTGGCGCGCCTCTGTGAAGCTCATGGGCTCATGACTTAGTCGGGATGAGATATGGTAACAGCTCCGAAGCTTATATAGAAATTTGCATATGGCAATGGATGGTGCATGCTTTTCAGCAAATTGGGCTGACCATGGCAATAACTCTCTTGGCCCTTCACCTGGAGCAGACATGGCGATCGGCTGGCTGCTTGCAAGCTCACAAGTGGCAGTCACCACGTGGGAGGCAGCCAAGTTGGCGGTTTGGATGGCCTGGTTCTTGTAAAGGGTGTTGTTTCGAGACCACCCCTACATCACCAAACCACCGATTCGGCTCCAAACCACCACTTGGGAAGCAGCCAATTTGCTTTCTCGAGCAATTTTACCGAGACGCTGTCCAGCGGCTCTTTGTCTGGACCGCTTCTGACCCAGGACCACGAAACATCAGTTATTTCACCTGTCCGAAGCTCAGTGCGAACGCTTTAGCACTGCGAAAACTGGCTGACCATGGGCTCTAAAACGGGTCCCCGGGATCTGGGTACAGACTTTGGTGCAAGCTCCGAGGCTCAAAAGATTGGCAACGCCATGGACCCTCCGAGATTCATAGAGCTCGCCGCGGTCTGCGTGGCCTCCTCCTTCTTCATCAAGCTGGTGATCCGGCTCAGGTTCCGCACCGTACGCACCTCGGAAGTGGAAGCAAAAATCCTTCGAAGACTCACCGCCCAACTGCTTCCCCACCGTTTTTTCCCTTTTTGGAAACGAGGGGTGCCTTCTGCATTCTTTCCAGGGATCCTTCTTTTCAAGAAACCATCAAACACCCCGGGGAAGACAGCCGGCTTTTGAAAAGAACGATGGTTCAAAAAAAATAGGGGAATCAACCCCTAGATTTTCGGAAACGAGGGCTGCCCCCCCCCCCAAAATGGCTCAGACTAGGCTGGGCCCGCGGCAACGCGCCAGTTCCCGCGGTAGTGGCCCAGCTCTTCCATCTCGTCCAGCAGATTCAAGACCACCAGCATGGCCGTGAGAGCCACCTCAAGCTGGGGGCAAAAGGTATCAGCTGGGCTGCTGTAACGACCCCCCTGCAAAAAGCTGATCACTTGTGGGTCCCATGGAAATCCAATGTGTCCAAACAAGCTAGCCAAGGAAGCAACCGCAGTTCTGAAACCTTCGCGCGAACATGTCTTCCCAAAGAAGTTGATCGAAGCAACAAATGGTGGGTTCCAGAAGCTTGGGTGCAAATCGTCTCTTGCATTTTTTGAAGCCCTGCACTGTGGATGGACGAAATCCCGTTTCGAACCGCCTAAGAAACCTTGGAATGATGAATCTCCTGTTAAATACCAGCAAACCGTGGTTTCAATGTGGTGCAGGATTTCGTCCATGAACAGTATCAGGGGACGCCTAGGGGTGCTTAGAGGTGATGCTGCAACCATCTCGCAATATATCATGGTTTTGGAGTCGCTGCTGCAAAATAACTTGGGTTGCAGAAGCGAATGCCAACAAAAGGCATGCCTTGGCATCCAAGGCGTGGAGAGACCATTCTCACCCTCAAACAGGCTTCAATCTCCTCTTGATATAGCTCCGTTGTGTCTTGTTTTGAGAATACCATTGTTTCTAAGGGAGGGGGATTCCCGGAAGCTAGCTACACCGAATGTTGAACATCGCGGCCACTATGTGCTCACTACCTTCCGAAGGAGCATGGAGGTAGCAAAAAACTTATAAAGCCATAAGACGAGGCCAGCGGCGTCGATTGGGCGGTTCTCTTGCAAGTCGAGACCAATTCCTCCAGGTTGCTTTGCCTATTTTTCCAAAACCCAACAGGGGATCCCCAGTCGAGAAACTCCCAACTCAGGCTTTCTGGGTGCGAATTGTTAACTCGATGACTTTCACCGGTGGTTTCACGTGCGCCTTCGAAACCCAATGCCTATCAACTACTCTTGCCCCGCATTGAGACCTGCGAGCAGTTGCCAGGGATTGCCAACCCTCCAGCCCCGCCCTGCAGTCCACCTGCAGGGGGGCAAATTGGGAAATGCCCCCAGGGCGCGCGCGTCTGGCTGCGGCTTCGGCGCACATCGGTAGAGCCCCGCGGGGCCCGAGGTGCGGCGAGCGGAGAGCAGCGAGAAGGCGGCGAGGAGCAGCTGGACCAGCACTTGCACCTCAGCTTCCCACTAAATTGGTTGTTTTTTGCTTACCTACCTGAGGGGGGGGGAGAGCAAGGGGTTAAATCCTTCAGCTGAAACCTCAGCTTCCCTTCAAGTGGTGGTTTGGTGGTGGTTTCCAATTTGAAAAGAACCAGGGCTTCGAATCCTGAAGCCCGAGGTTTGGTTTGGTGGTTTGGGGGCGGGTGGTTTCCCATTCACCCTGTAAAAGAAAAGGGAACCGAAGGGAAGCGCAGACAATATCAGCTTCCTCTACTTGGTGGCTGTGATTGATTTGGTGGTTCAGGGGGATTCCCATTTGTGGAGCGCGGTGGTTCGGTGGTGAGCCGAGCTGAAGTTCAAACACCAACCCAAACCAAAACACCTACCTGACGCTCCCCAGCCAGCTGATCCTTCAACTGCTGGTTGGGCAGTTGGGTGGTTTCCCATTTTCCTTAGGAAAAGGCAGCTGAAGGGAAGCAAAGAAGAAAACCTCCGCTTCCCACTGATTGGTGGTTTTTGCTTGGTGCTTTGGTGGGGGTGGTTTCCCATCTACCATCAACAAGAACCAGGGCTTCGAATCCAAAAGCAAACCTAAGGTCACCCAGCCAGCTGAGTTCACCCTTGACAGCACCATTTTCACCTCAACAAACCGAAGCTTAGGTGTGCCACCGCAGGAGAGTGGTACTTTGGGGGTGTTCGGCTTCGGTTCTTGAGGGGCTTGGGGAGTTCAACCCCTTCTTGCAGCGTGATGGGAAACTGCCCCTCTGAAGCACCAAGAGGGAAGCTGCCATTGGCAGCCCTGACGAGCCCAAACCATGCTAGACTAATGGCCCAGTCCCAGTCAAAACGATAAAACCTGAACATAGAAACAAGAAAGCAAGCTGGAGAAACGCACACACACACACACTAACTAACAAACGTATGCCAAGAACAGCGAAGCGACAGTACTGACAAGCAAAATGCTTGGCGATAAGAAAAGAACACCCTAGAGAAAAAAACAAACTGCAAACACACAGTGGTAGGTTTCGTTGGGCCCACATGTCCAACAGACTGAAAGAGGTCTGCGCGGCGTAACTTGCGCCAAGGGCGCTCGCCACATCATCAGGATGCGGTGCGTGTTTGGCACAGCGGGCATTGCCGGGGGGTCGTGCAGGATTCGCATGACCGTGGATGCCAGAAGCATCAGCCCAAAGCCTCTGCTATGCCCAGGAGAACCCGGACACATGCGTCTCTTTGCTTCGTGCTCTCTCCCTCTGCCTCCCCCTCTCTTGCCCATAATTCGCTGGGATCCCTAAGCGACCTTCATGGGCGTACTTCAGGGCATCTGCAACAAACGCGCGGCGATGACAAGGCCCAAGGGTCCCACCCTTTCCTTGCATGAGTTGAGGGATTCTCCCCTGCCCCCTCGTTCATGACCCCTTTGTGATTAAGGGGGTCTGTTTACGACTTGGTTGATGTTGGAAGGGGAGCAATAATGTAAATATGCTATAGCAGTTCAGTGGTTGGATTTCAACCAATAAACCATTTGCAAAAATGCAAAATGTTTTCCATCAACAACCAGGTTTTGGACAGTACTTGATACATAAGGGTTGTCTCTTCCAGGGAGCCGCCAAAGTTGCCGTTAGGGAGGCTTGGGCCAAGCAACTCTAGCATGCGAAATCGGCGGTTGAAAGCGCTGCTTTGTTTCTTATTTGTGTTTTTTCATGGGCCCGCTGTGTGCAAGCGGTATTGCCCTGAGTACTGTAGTGGTGTTTCGTGGTGCTTCTTCGCCCTTTTTTTTCAAGCAGCATGAGGCTGCTGCAGTGGACTTGAAGTACATGTTTCTCGACTTACAGGTGGACTCCCTGATTGTTTATCGATCTGGGGGCTCTTCAAACCGCAGCTGTAGCAATGCGATGGACCGGCTTTTTTCCACATGAGAGACTGTTGGGCTTTAACAACTACATTTCGCCAATGGGTCATATGTTATTGCTTATTAAGGGAAAATCAAGGTATCTAGTTATTCACAAATTAAGGCATTCGCGATGCGAACGCTTTGTCACGGTGCATCACGCTGTGTCTCGAAAACGTCACAGGCCCAAGCGGGATTGTTGTGAGTATCATCACGCTTTGTCACGCTCCGACTCGCCCGACCTGCTGCTACACACACCTAAGTTTCGATGTTTGATCGCCAAAGCCCGGATGTTCAATATGATCAGCTCCTGAGCCTAACGTGCAAATGTAGGCTTCGTCGACCAACATTGCCAACACTGCCCCGCATTGCATAAGTGTTGAAGCCGGGTGTCACATACGGAGTCTGGAAATAATCAAAGACCGTCCCCTTTTGGTTTCCTTTAGGGAAGCCAACAACAATCTATGAACTCAGCAGGGATGATTTGTTGAAAGTCGCACCTTGCTTGCTGTTGACCCCTCTGCAAGAATCTCTCAACTTTTTGTGGGTCCAATACGGAACACCCGACCTGTTTCAACCAAAAACATAAAACGTCCTATGGTTTAAACCGCCAACCTGCGGTTGATGCAGTCTACTTTCGACAACCTATAATAAGCAGAACCCCTATGAATGCGATAAACTTCATAGGAACCTCTAACCCACCACCAAACCCCAACCCCCCCCCCCCCTCCAACCAACCCATAGGTGCCTCCTAACGGAACCTTATAGGAACCTCTATCACACTATAGGCAGCCAAGGCGCCATAGCTGAAGTGCCTTCCTGCCTTATGACTGATGATCCAGGCTTTCTTCTGGTCGTAGTCCTCACCAAAACTTGCAGAACAATACGTGCCAGCGGATCCCAGTAGTTTTTGAGCCCCCTTGGTTGCCTCATGTTGCCCACCTTACAAGTAAATGGAATACTTAATTTAAGTATAATACTTAAATACTCAAGTACTTTCTTTTGGTTACCTACAGGTGTATGGAACACTTTAAACACTAGATTACTTCTTTTTGGTCCCAGCCCCAGCAACCTGACCGCCTCAAAGGAACGGGAGCTGGTGCTATTTCCCGCTCTTGGGGGGGGGGTGTTAACGATAGGGGGAAGGGATTATCTGACAACACATCCCCACACAAAAGCATGATGTGTCGGCCTTGTAACGCTGGCTTTTGGACGTACTTATGCTTCAAGGAACCTCAATTTCTGGCAGCCAAACATGTCAGGTCAGGAGAGCTAACTTCACAGCACCTGACTCCGGACACACGAGCCACATGTTCGGCCGGTGCTGAACCGAAAAAACGAGAAAACGGGGCCACTAATACCAATATGTAGACGGTCAATAGTTCAGACGGTCAATATGTAGAATCTTACCCTACTTCCAAAACCTGAAATAAGGGATCCCCAAGCAAAGGATCTTTACGGTGAGCTCGTTTCTATTTTCAGGTGAGCTTGCCATATGCAGAAAATAGTAGTGTTATCACATTCTCAACAAGTTCTGTCTTTGGGTTGGAAGGGTGATGGAAACTGAAGCCTATGCTGGGCGTCCCATTTAGCAACCAAAGAAACGAGTCCCAGCATGGCTGTCTCCCACATCTAGAGGAAACCATCTCGTTCAAGTCGGCAACCAAATGCCAAATGCAAGGTAAATTGGGAATTACAGGGAGCCCTGGAAAAGGCAACCTGGTGAAGAACTGGCCAAGCAAAACATAGGAAGGTTCTGATCGCACTCTGAAAACCCTTCCGCGTGCGTTTCATCCTGGACACTCAGTTTCACCTGGGCAGTTTAAAATCGGGGTGTCGTTTTCAGGAGACCCCCCAAAATTTGTGAAACCTTTAACCAGGTACCCTCCAAAACGACAGCCCCATCTGAGAGCACTTTACCTGTACCTTGTCATTTCAACTAGGTCTCTTAAAAGTGGCTGATTCCATTCTGAAGGGCTCTCATTTGATTACTTTTGGGGCTGGCGTCCCCTTAGTGTTCACTAGCAGTCCAACTGGATTGGTTCGCTCAAAGTACATCGCGAGCTGGGTTTTTCCACATGAATAGAAACAAATGCCACGTGGCTTCCCCCCCCTCAAAAAAAACAAAAAACAAAAACAAGAAAATAAAGAAAGAACAGTCAAAAACCACAGCGAGGCCTGCAGCTCAAGGTCCAACACCAAAAAGCAGCCCGCCGCCATCATCATAACCTCACCCCGAACCCAAGCAAAAAACCCACGCCTGCGACCCGAAGACCCGAAGACCTGGAAGTAAAACGGGGTAAACCCCACCTCAGATCCAACAGAAGGAACCCCAAAAGCCATACCGTGGATGGTTACGAAACCCATTTCGCAACACTTTGAAACCATGGTGGAAGCCTTACCGTTTGATGGATTTCCAGGGGAATCAAATCATTCCAGGGTTTCTTGGGTGGTGCGAAACGGATTTGGTCCACCAATAGCTTTTCCTGCCAATTCCAGGAGGTATTTCTCCCCCAAGGTCTAACAGACACCTCTCTCTCGCCTTCGCTCGTACTTTTCGGGCCGTCGCATGGCATTAAGCACCCGTTCGCCCCAAAGTACCAAGACTCACCACAATTTTGGAAGACACTTGAATTGGTGATGCAAATTCCCATCCACTGCCGCGGGGGGGGGGGGCAAAGTCCAAGATATACTGTTTGGCGGCGCTGACAAAACGAAACAAGCCGCTTGGATTCTTCAAAGGCCAAAACCTTCCCAACTTTAGGAATTGAGCTTGTTGCTTCGTTTGGAGGGAGACGTTTGAGACCATGGGTCAAATGATTTTTCGTGAGAACTAATGAACACTCATGTGGCTGTGAATGTTTGCATGAAACCATTTGGTGGTGCTGGAGGTTGCCTATTGAAACTCCTTGCCATATATGCTGACAGGACTGCCCGAACTCCTTCTAGTGGGCTTTCATCTCACCCAAATTGCACCCAGGACTGCCCGAACACCTGCACTCCTGGAGCTTTTGGATTCCAACAACTTGTGAATTTGTTTAAGCTGGCATTCCTTGCCAGGTTGTGTCACAGGGATAACCGATAACCCAAGGAAAAAAATCTCCATGGAGTCCGACAACTCGGGAGTGCTTTGGAGTTGAGGGACACGGAACATCAAACAACAAAGCAATGCCCGTGTCTTTGTTGGGTGGTTGCACTCGGATAACCTTGGGTTTCACATGGGTTATGCCTTTGAAACGGTGTTGAGGGGGCCCCCCTTATGAATCCCAACGAAGAATACGTTTCCCATGGGTGATCCCTTTCAACCCCAACGCGGACTGCAAACGCCCAAGGAGTGCTATTTCACATGGGAAAGCCGTTGGGTGCTATTAAGGCAGATGGTTGAACCCCACTCATTTCCTGAGTTGAACATGGCCAAACAAAGTCGCCAAACCTCCTGTTTGCCACCAAAATGCCTCCCCCCACATTGAAGTCCATGAGCTCAGGACGTGCGACAATGGGTTGAACCCCACCTAGGTCCTCCAGTAGAGAGGTTATATTTTTTCTGCAGTCTATTATGGTAGGGGAACCCTCCCCCAAAAAAGAAACGGTAAAAGAGCACTACTGGGGGACCTAGCCACTCCAACCCCCTGGCCCGAAGCCCCCCCCATTTTGGGAGCCAAAGCACCCCGGCCATGGCCACAGGCACCAGGCTCAGGAAGAAGGTGGGCCGCACATTGGAGGAGCAACGTACCGCGTGCCAACTCGTCTCCTCAGCTCCCATTGTTGTTGGCGTCCGTTTTGTCTCTAGTTTCTTGCTTTTTGGAGGTTTCCTTTTTTCTTGGTTGTCTTTTTTTTTTTTGTTTTTTTTTTTTTTTGGGGGGGGGGGGGGAACACCAGGTTCTCCAATGAAGTCATAAAAGGAAAGCACAATGTTTGTTTTGGGGGGGACCACGTGTTTCCTTTCAATGGAGTCAGAGAGGAAATCAATGTGTGTTTGTTTGTTGTCTTTGTGTTGGGTGGGGGGACTTGTTTGGATATTAAATGGCGGCATAGAGGAAAACAAGAGATACATATAAATATGTCTTTGGTGGGGGGATTTGTTTTTTGGATATCCAATGGAGTCATATAGGAAAACAAGGGTGAATGATACTTTGGGGGTTGATCCCCTTCCATGTTCGGCCCCCAACCCCCCAAAACGAAAGAGACACACACACACACATCAGGGACCCGATTAATTTCCAACCCACCCCGGATTTTGACTCTCGCGCTACCTGGTTTTGGGGTCCAAAAAACCAGGCTCCTGGTAGAAAATCACTTCCCCCTAACATGCGGACTGGCCCGCAATGCGAACAGTCTGATCCAGGCTCCACAAAGAGCTGTAGGCTTCACAAGGGAAATCCACGCCGATCGGCACCAGGGATGGATGGGAATTCCCACCTACAAACTGGATTTTGATCGGCAGGCATGGACGAAACCCTTTGAATCTAGGGGTACCTTCCCCATTCTTTCCAGGGATCCTTCTTTCCTAAAAACCACCAAAACAGCTTGTTTTGAGACCAACGATGGTTGAAAAGAATGGGGAGTCAGCCCCTAGAATGAAGCCTACCACCTAATTACCAACCGGTGCCAAGTGGATTTTGTCCAGAGTAGCGCGAGACCATAGGACTGGACGGGGGGCTTCATGTCCAAGGCTCGGCAATGTGCACGTCAAACATCAGCATCTTCACCAGCAGCACCAGCCTCCCCCCCCGAAACGACAGCGTGAGGCCGACACCACGTCCCTTCCATCTCTGCTTCCAAGAACACACCCTCCAAATATTTTCAGGGTGGCCCCACATGATCTATTTTACGGGAAGCCCTCCAGGTGCTGAATATGAATATTAGCTCATCAGCACCAATAAAGTCAAGCGACACCACGGACAGCAGAAGCAGATGCCAGTTCGCGGAAGTCAAATGTCCTCGGGACGCTCCAGGCAAGAGCCATCGCTGTCCAACCATTCTTGCTGGTGCTCAGTAAATGACGCATTGGGAAGGCCCGGATGGATTGCCTAAAAGGAAAGCATAGAGCCCGGATGGTTTCGAAATCTCGAGGTTCCAATTCTCATCCCCTGCCTGTCGCACCAGCAAAGCATTTGCAACAAAAAAGATCACGAAAGCGCGCCTGGTTGCACGCCCTTGGCCACAACTTTCACCACCAGGGCCTCAGTGATGTCTCTCTTTATCAGTGTCAAGGCGCTTTCCCTTGGCACCTGGCAAGGGTGGTGATCATCACCGATTGCGCGCGACCTGCGCGCAAAAAAAAAAAAAAACGCCCGCCCAGCCGGCGGGAAGAAAAAAAACGGCTTGCCCACCCAACTCGACGGGAAAGGGCCGGGGTCCCCGGCTGATGTAGTCTTGCGCGTTCCGCTGTCTGGTGATGTTATCGACATGTGGGACCATGGGCAGACCATAGGTCCTGCAAGTTGGGGACGGTGCTCGGCACTTAGAATGCATCCCCTGGATGGACGGAATCCTGCACCTAAGCAACCCTAGTTTCTGATGATTTCCCTGTGAATACCAACGACCAATGGTTTCAGCCATGGTTCAAAGCGCGAAACGGCCACAGGAATCCCCCTCCGCTTCACTCCCAAACCCTGAAGGCGCCCACAGGATGGGCAAGGCTCGCCCTGAAACTTGCGCCAGCGCCGCACCGTCCTCAGCAGGAAAAGGCCGCAGCCAAGCCAGCAAAGCACCTGTGGAAAGGCATGCCACCAAATTCGGTTGTGGGATCTCACCAGTGACATAGCTTTCTCAGTACATTTCGAAATACGTATACACAAACATATATATATATATATTTATGGCTATGTGTCAAAATAGGTGGACCCAACAAACGGTGGTTTTCCTTTTGGTTGTCCCTTAAGCCAACCTCAAACATAGTACCCTCAAAAAGCACGCACCCATTTTATGTGTGCAAATTCGTACGTGGTACCTCAACCCGGCCTGGCAGAGTTGTTCGGAGCCGCGCGCGGCAATGAGATAGAGGCCCATGCTGGTGGCGCTCAGCAGCAAGTGATACAGCGCATACTTACCTCAGCAATCAAAGCGCCATCCCGGGCTTTTGCTATCTGATTTGTTCCAACGCCCCCCAATTAAGGATGGGCTTGGTAACCTGAAAATCACCTGGAGCCACACCCTGAGTTGCTTTAGAGGTGTCAAAAGGACGTATGTTGAGGCCTTAAACTCAGGGCCCTAAGAATCTGCCTCAGCATCTGGGACTGTTTGAGGTCAAACAACTTCCCCGGACGTGCCCCCCCGCCCCCCCCTCCCCGTAATGAAGGAGTCCAATCAGACTTGAGTTGGTTTGTTCTTACCTGGAACATTTGGGGATTTGCATGGGGGACCCCACAAGTGAATAAGCCTCCTATTCCCCTCCAAGGTTGACTCTCTGGGCGGGGGGTAATTACTCACCCGAAAGCTGCAGGTGTTGACACAAAGGGAATTTGTGGAACGCATGCTGCGGGGTCCAACTTGGAAGTTGGGAGGCGATGTCTGATGGGCCTGGTCATCAGGGGCCAATTCCATTTTCTAGTCCTTAGTAGAAAAGGGAAAGAGAAACTACAAATGGGTCAGCCCGCTCCCGCAATTCCATTTTGAGGGCAGGGATTTGGAATGCCTACAGGGCTGAGCTGACCTGGTCGTTTTGCAGACTCTTCTTGCCAGGTTGCGACAAACTGGCAGCCAGATCGCGACGCGGGCATACATGATGCCGATCCTTACAGGAAATGGCCCCAAAACACCCTAAATAAGCTGTTTTTCCGGTCAATAATTTCCGGCAACCCAACCCTTTAACCAGCTGGCTGAAAAGAATAGATCGTTCGCGACCCCATTTGTCATCTTCCTGACCCACATTCCGGAAAACATGTGTATGGTTGGAAGTACCCAATTGTTGCTGCTTGTGGATAATACCGGTTTCACTCAGTCTTGAGGAGGATTCCCCGGTTTTACTCAGTCATGGAAAATAACAACCCAAGACACAATTCTCAACCATGCCCCTTCTTCTATCCATTCTTTCCTTATGGAGATAGGACGCCCCTCCATACATCGTCCAAACGTAGTTTGGAAAATCAAATGCCCCTTGCAACCTACTAAAAAAACACAAACAAAACCAGAACCGAAGAACTCAAACACAAGCCAAGAACAGTGAAGTTTAGTTGAACCGGGCTGTGGCTTCCTCATTAAAGCTTGTATGCACTACTTAGTGTGTTCAAAAGGCCCGGGGACAACTTGAGCATGTGGCTTTTGTGGAGATGCCGGTTGCCCTCCCATGTCCCCACAAAAACAGCGGACTACACAAATAAGACTCTGACCCAAGCAGCTTGCCAGAAGCAAACTCAACACCACTTGCAACCAAAGGTCATGCATGCAAAATGGATCAATGAAAGCAACCGCTTGTAGTGCTTCTGAAAATTAATGGGGGAGAAATCGCACATGAGCACTTTTAGGGATTTTCCGGGTGTCTGAGCATTCGTGTGATCCAACTTGATGGCATCACGTTCATGGGCACTGACGGTGTCCATGTTGCAACCTTGTCTTTACATGGTTGGGGAAACACAAAGGTGCGCGGCCCACGCAGCCGACATTCCACTCCCGCTTGCTTGACAAATATCATATCCATGTCCACTGCCCCCGTTCAACACACAAAATCACAGACAAAAACCACAAAAGCGCACGGCAGCCCATCTGGACACACCTTTTGCCAGGATTCAGCATATAGCAGGTCGCCAGAAAGGTCAGGTGCAGCACTCGAGCGTCGCGGTTGCCGTTCCCCAAAACGTCCCCTGGCCAGGCCAACAGAACAACAGGCCGACGGAAGCAAACGACGATGCACCCACAGAGCGGAGAACAAGTCCCAACATCCTAGTTGTCGCCTAACTGTATATCCATATGGGTGACTACTTAGATTGGACCTATTGCCCAACATGTGGCCCATATCAAACATGGCGACGGCTACTTGAGTGTCTGCCGAACTCGACAAATGGATTGAAACCTGAGCTAGCGTTGCTAGCGGGTTACATCACAGGTGGCGAGCCTCACGGCAGGTTGCAATGTCATGTTTATCGTACCGCGCCTGTCCAGTTGAGGTCCATGCCAAAGATGCTGATGGCTAACCTAGGGGCCAGCAGGCCTTCAGTGAGGAATCGCCTGATTAGTCATACTCTGTGCATCCCCTGTAAAGACCAGGTGAAATTTGGGGGACCCTTGTCACTAAACATTCTCATTACACATTTAATGTTGACTTCGGATGAACCCTGAGAACCCTACTAGGCAGAGGAACCTCCTGACACAACTCATTTCCTTACTCAAAGGAACCGCCCCTGACTAGTACTTCCTCCTTGTCAAGGTCTGAAGTCAACACTAGCTGGTTCCCGAAGCTCAGCTTCCATTTGCCTCAGCTCCTTGCACCAAAAAAAACGATTCCAGCAGTGATAGATTCCCTTTAAAACTAAGAGGCAAACATTAAAAAAAAAAACAAGCAAATGGAAGTCAGCAATCACTGCATTCCAGCTCGGCGGCAACATGTAGAAGATCCGGTGGTCCAAGCCGTCTGCCGTGAAGCGCGTGGACTCAGGCCGGCTGGGCAGATGCCCCAAAGACGCAAGCCAAACAGCGTGTGACAATGAATGTTCCCAGGTTCCGTTTGGGAAAATTGTAGTTCTGGTACATGATTCAAACTAAACTATACTCATGTAACCATTGCCCTCTATTTGCCAACGAACTGACCTGAAAGGACACCGATTCTGCGCATGCCAAGTGGCATACTCTGCAGAGGCAGAGTACAAGCTCCTGAGTGTTTCAGCTCGCTGCATCTTTCCACTGGAAATCACAGGTTTGCGGTTTTGAGACCAAGGCGCCAGTACGTGAAGAGCGCAAGGACCAAAGCAGAGGCTGGCTCACCGCGAGCGAAGTGAATCACAGTTGTTGCCTAAGCTTCTTCAGCTTCGGGTCGTGCCCAGAGACTCCATGTTGGCCATATTACTCACTTTCATTTGTAGGCCTCTCATGGCAACATCCACATTGGAGTGCTTGGGATAACTTGGCCAGCCCTAAAGCACAAAACATGAAGGAGACACCACAGAAGCTGCCGCGAAACAGGTTCCAGCTAGTTGCAGGCAAGGTGCGTTGGATGAGCCGAACAAGATCCAACAAAAGGCTTCCTGCTTGGTGGCCTCAGCTACGCAACGCTGATCAAAAACGCGGCGGTGCTCTTGCCTTTTGCTTCCTTTAGCACGGCGAAACGACTACACTTCTCAGCATCTCCAGACATTGGCCCGGGTACCCACCTGCAGATTAACATGGAATCTGAAGAACCACCATGTTTAGAGGAAGCTCCTTTTACTGGCCCACTTTTGGGCTCCATGCAAAACCTGCACGGGGACATTCCGAAAACGGACCCGTGCAAAACATGTTGCTGTACCAAACCCATGCTGTCACCGTTTCCAAGGCGCTCCGCGCTTGTCATCTTGATCTCTGAGATGCGGCACTTCCCATTTGATCGCCCGCCTCAGAGTGGCTGAAAAGCACGCTTTGCTCGGGCAGCATCTGGCGCACTCCAAAAGTACCTTTTTGTCTGCTTCTCTTTCATATGCAGCCTACCGTAGACATATGGTTCAGTTTTTTTTTATGTTTTGGAGGAGACCCCAAACTGTAGCATGGAAGCTGTTCAAAAGCGAAATGTACACGGCGTGGCAAATCAAGAAACCAAATAGTCAAGCCCCAACGTGGCTGGCTTCCCATTCCATTGGTTTTCCTTAACAACCACAACTAAAGTTGAAAGCAGCCTAGAGCTAGGCAGCGAGACTTGAGGTTAGATCACGTATGTCCCTACGAAAGATCTGGAAATACGTAGGGAATTTAGGGAATCGGAAGGGGTCCATCTTGATTGGGCCCCCTCTTCATTCCAATGTGAGTTATAGTCAAAACCTGGTATCAAAATAGTCGTAATCCCAGAACCATGGTGAAGAAATAAAAAGGCGGCTGCACCTTAGTTTATGGTTGGGACTATCCCATATTGACCTCAATCTACCCGAGTTTTGATTGGGGCTAATACGTTTCCCAACCCTTGGTAGGCGAGCAAAAACCTCTGTCGCTTGCACTGCTTCAACTCGGTTGCCATGTTGCTTAAGAGGCAGAAGCCCAGTTGTGAAACCTTTCCAATGGGTCCCCCTTTCCAACCACACAGGAGGTAGACCGTTAGATTACTCTTGCTGGGTGATCCTGGATTCGTGGTTTGCGGGTTTGGACTTCTGGCCCTTGCTTAAACTCCATAGCTCCAAACCACCAATCCAAAGCACCAACTCAAGTGTAACAGAATTGTCCGGCATCGCTTGCGAAATGATCTGGTTTGCTTCTCACAGCTACTTTGGCCTCACTGTTCTTGGCGCGCATCTTTTACTCTTTCCTCCATTTGCTTAAGTCCCCCCTGGAAAAAAATAATGAAACTATGTTCAACAGTGATTGATCCCCAGGGAAAAACAATAGTGAACATCCCAATCCCCACAAAAATAGGTCCTAAAATGGGTGGTGCACCTACCCCAAAGTGGTACCATTGGTTTTGAACCATGGCCATAGTCTGAAACGCAGAATGGAAGCTTCAGTTTGTTGGCCTCGAACCTCATCATTCGGCTGAGGCTCGCCGACCTCCGTAGGTGCTGCACGTCCAGGGTGTACGCCTGTCCTGCCGCTGGGCAACTCGCGTAACACGTCCGATCGAGTGGATTGGCCCAAACAAGCCTCTCCGAACTTTTTAACTTGTATACCACGAAGCTTGGTTGACGTTGGAAAGGGAGCAAAAAAAGTAAATTTAGCAGTTAAGTGGGGATTTCCCACCAAACCACAATAAGCAAAAAGGCAAAATGTTTCCCAACAACAACCATGCTAAGGTGGTCTTCCCAAAAGGGTTTAAGTCCATGAACTCAGCGGGGCCCTGAGAAGATGGTTTTGAACTCCACCCCCCCTCCCCACAAACAAAAACAACAAAAAAAACAAAAAACAACACAACAAAAACGATGACCATCGAGCATGCACAAAGCTTTACAGTCTCAGATCTAGGCAGTTACAGAACAAAGCAAGCTCAAACAAACCATTGTCGTTCATGCGATCAAGTTTGATCTGACTATGGATCAGTTTCTGCATCATCTTTCCCATTCTTTTGAGGGGACCCTTCGCTTCCAAAGATGTCCAAGCCAAGAAAAGATGCTTGACTCCTTCTGACGCCTAAGAACCAGTTCTGGCCTCTAAACGCATGTTCTACTTTTGGGTTGGCAAATGAACACATTCATTTTCCGTGTAATTGCCCCGGATTCCAGGGTACAAGAGGTGAAGTGGACTGGGAATCCACCTAAACCTTCCTCAAACTTACTCAAACCCACCTCCTGTCCTACCGGGTCTCGCGGGCCCGGCTGGTCCATGGCGCATCATATCATAGCGACGGCTCTTGGCTCATGGCTGGAGGCCTCAGTTCTCCTGGGTTTGTGCCTTGTTGAGGCTGTCATGTTCACCTTGGCCGGATAAAACAATCGGAAAACACCTGAAAGTAAAGCGTTTTGGGTTACCCTATTTTGACAAAGGTCAATGCAAACTCGCGTCGAGAACGCTGCCCCAGTACATGCCTAGAACCCAAATGAAACCAGTGCCACCTTGCCAAAGTGACCCGAGGACGCCTTTCCCAAGAAACAGCTGGTTGGACCCTTGCGAGGGATAGCTTGAACACCTACAGAGCACCTCTGCGCTTGTGCTTGAAGGGGCTGTAAGCTTGCATGCTAAGCTGATTTGTGGCATTGAGCATGTCTGCCCCCATCTCCCGGCTGGTTGCCAGAGATTTGTGGGATGGTGCTTGGGTGACTTCTCCCTTGCCTGGGGCGGTGGAACTCTGCTAGCCACAACCTGGATCCAAGGCGCGCAAGTTCTCGCACCCTCCGGTTTCATCGCTCGCAGTGCCCCTATGCAAAAGACAAACGGGCGGCATGGCTGTCCAACCATGACTCTGTCACTTTGACACGCAACCTTAAATATGGCAGGCTCGGAAACAAGGTCAACCCTGTGAATCGCTGCAACTTGCCCATCCAGTTTGTGGTTGGATGCGCTGGGTCCAATTGCCTTCAGGGTCCACCGTACTTGAGAATGGCCGCTCACAGATCAACAAGCCCAAGAGGCATCCACAACGAGGTCTCTGGAACCCTAGCCCAGTGCCGCTCTGGTCATTTTTCCCTGGGCGGCATGCCAGACAAACTGTAGCGCCGGCACAGTGGCGCCACCCTTTGGGAATTCCGCGTCCGGATCCTCACTTCCTTGGAAACTCAATGCCAAAGATTAACGTTGTCGGCAAAAAAGGAACACTTGGAAAGCAGACTGTGACTACTACTCATGTTTTTTTCAAAAAAAAAATAATACGTAAAATGGATATGGCTCCAAAGTTCCACGTGACGCGTTCCCCCCCTTTTTGCGGGTTTGAGGGCCGTGTTTCCCCCGTTTTGCGGGCGCTTTCCAGGGCCGCCATGGGTCTCCTCTCAGCCCCGGGCCCTGGGCCCCGGGCCCCGGGCCGAGCCGAACTGACGTCAGATCCCGTAGAACCGCTGGGTGTTGGCCAAGGCGGCCTCCAGGACTTCCGCCGCCAGGAGGCCCTTCACTTCCGCCACCGCCTCGCGAGCAACTCCCGGCGCCCGCTGCCAGCGGGCGCCGGAAGGAGCCGAAAAAGGAGGGGTCCAACCAAACAAATCTCACCGATCGCGTAGATTGGCCAATAAACAGTGAGTAAACTTGTTGGTGAGCACTAAAACGCTCCACGGCAAAAAAGTTTCCAAGTACCAAAACGAAAACCTGGAAATGATGTTCGAATGGATACTTCTACGAACCCACATAGGGTGACTCGTACTTGGGTTCATCCTAGGTCACCGTTGCAGCTTACTAACTTCCCCAATGGAAACTACAAAGCAAACTGTACTCCAAGGTCAGGATTTTGCCTTTGAGCAGCCCAGTTTTGATGGTAGCTGAAACCATTCGGGTCCATATCCCCAACCCAAACCATTTTAAAGGTACGAAACCGATGTCTTAACTGGACCAAACACACATCTTACCACAGAGCCCGGTCCAGGTCAGGCCAACCCCCCCCCCCTCCCAGGCCGAAAGCGCCTCCGCGATTTGCAGCACGTGCTTGGGCTGAGAAAAGCTGCCGCGGCTCTGCCCCTGAAGGCCGCTGGGGGGGAAGTGGGGCCCCAAGCTCTCCAGCACCAAGCGGTCCAAAGGCACGTCGAAGGCCATCAGCCCCAACATCCTCAGTGGGTGTGGATCATTTTTTGTGCCACCAGGAAATGGACCGCAGGTTGTAGTCCAAGTTTCCATTTACCAGAGTTCCTTCTTGGGTACGTAGTTTTGACCCACAGCCAGTGCGTTCCCAACATCCTCAGCGTGTTGTGGCCATGGGTCAAAACCCAAATCGTAAATTCACCTACCCCAAAAAAAGATCATCCACGGCCTTCTAGCTGAGAGTTCTTGGGGCGTTTGTCAGGGGAGCTAGGAATGAACTGGTGCATACTGGATGGTTGCGAAATCCGCTTCTCGCACCACCCGCTCACAAACCCTAGTTGGTTGATGCTTCCCCTGTAAACACCATCGCACAATGGTTTTAACATGTTTTAACCATGGCTTCTTAGGTGGTGCGAAGTGGATTTCGTCCATCAGTAGGTTCACTGGTTCCTTCCTCATTGGTAGCACGGGTTCTTGAAATTCAATGCTAAACCAAGCGCTTAGCAGGCCCAGTGGATCTCGGCACAGAAATACCACTTGTAGGAGGTAGCTCAGGAACGGTCGGTGAATCCTAGTCCATCTGTCAGACACGCGGGAAACCACTAAACCACTACCACCCTATGAATTAGGAGAGAATGGGACAAACCGGTGATCGGTGCGGATGTTGCCACTCTGCACTGTAGGGTATGTCATCGCATTTCTTTGTGCATTCACGGGACAAGAAAGCCGCTCATTTCCGGGGCCCAAGGATTTTTTCAGACGGCTCTTTTGGCAGGGCTGATTTGGGAAGCTCCACGATATGTGGAGCTGTTCGTTTTGCCTTCCCTAGCCAACCCGGTGGATCCCAGGCCAGCCACGATAGGAGGTACCCAAGCATCATCTCATCTCTTGGTTTTGCTATCGGGTGGCAAGCCCTGCCCTTGGTTACCTGCCTAAAGCCAGGTTTGCCTGGATCGATCCACTGGGCAAGGCTTAGCCTTTTTCTTCCATTTGGTTAAGACCCCGGGAAAAGAAAGAAATAGATTTCCAGTAGTGAAATATATTCCCTTTACAACCAACAGGAAAAAGAGAAGAAAGCAAAAAGGAAAAAACAACATTTCAGCTTCCCCTTAAAACCAACAGGGGGAAAACACAAAAACATATTCATATTCATTTCAGCCAGCCGGAAGCTTGGCTCGCCTCTTGTGCTTGGAGTGCGTGAGGAGGCCGCTGAAGGCCATCATCATCTTGGGGAAGGAACCTTCGTCCGAGGGGTCCGAGGGACCGAAGCCGAAGCCGAGCCCCGCGGATCGATCCATGCCAGCACCAAGCTCCGTGTTGCGAACACGGTTTTCCGGAAAAATGGACATATGTCCGGTATAGACTCCCTTCAACGCCAACAGGGAAAACAAGACATATTCATAAGCAAAGGGAAGTCAGGCAGGCAACGAGATCTTTTTCGCACCACTGGGACAGATGAAACCCTATAATGGTTGATAAACAAATAGCAACCTACCCACTGATGCAGGCTTTGGTCCATCCACAGTATGGGTGTGGGCCAAAATCCAAAGGGAATCTAGGGGGTAAGGTTGTCGGGTACCAGGGTGTTGACCCACCAGCATGGGTAATGTTGACCCCTCGCATTTTGAAACCCGTCCGAGAGAGTGAACCCTTCTAAAAGTGAAGCCTCTGTCAATCAACCAGAGGTATTTATTAATCCGGGTCCCTATTACTTGCTTACGTGGGGAATGAGAAATGGAATGACCCCTATAAACCATGCAACTGGTGGTTTCCCTGCAGGGAATCCCTGGGTTCATTACCGCACTCCCTGAGCACCAGCCAGATTACACACATGTTCCTTAAAAAACTCCAGGCCTCCCACCAAAATGCCAAAATGAAAAACTGAGGAGCGCAGGAAGGCTGGGACGCACTTGGGCCGCCCATGGAAGGAGGACAGCAGCATGGGATGCTGCGACTGCTCGCCGAAGACGGAGACGAGAAGCTCCGCCATAGATCTCAGAACCAGAAGCCAGGTGTCCAAACACTGTGGATGGTTGCAAAATCCATTTCGCACCACTTTGATACCATGGGAAACCATTATTTGCTGGTATTTACAGGGGAAAAGTAATCATTCCAGGGTTTCTCAGGTGGTGCGAAATGGATTTCGCCCATCAACAGTAGGGCACCTGTTCCGGGGTGCGTTGCAAAGAGAGGTTGAATCCCCTTTGTTGGAAAGATCCATGTGCCGCACATGTGACATTTCCGGATCTATGACTCATTGGTGAACAGGGCTTTGCATGGGCATCTTGCGAACTTGGCGAAACCTCAAACCGCGCAACATTCATCATGGAAAGCGTTACACATCGAGGCTCATGGTGTGGACGACTCGGGACTTTGGAGGGACGGATTCAGGCGTGGGCTGCTTTCCAGGACTTTAGAGCCGCCTCTTGCCGTCCCACAGGCACAACTTCAACATGATCCAGGAAGTCCCTTATGAATGTGACCTGCAAACATCACCAGTCACCAAAAGCTAACATGCAAGAAACACTGGCAATCCCAAATGGCAATCCTTAGAACGACAATGAACGAAACTCAGCCCACCGCAACAATGTATGGACATCAAACCGATGAGGTCTTCTGCCCAAGGATGTTCTCCCTTAAAATTACTGGAGACTTTGCTTGGGTTCAAAGATCGAATCGCCATGTGGACACCCCGGACCCCCCAAACCCCCCCCTACGCGTGGAGTCCCGCCTCTCCGCTTGGTCCTGTGGTGGCACCTGGAGTATGACGGGCAGACCCAGGTCCTACGGCTTGAGTTCGCAAAAGCGATGGAACCCCCCACTTGACTGGGCTGTCCGAATCTCTTTTAGTCGGTTGAATGGAAATCCCCACTAAACACTAAAAATAGCTAAAACGCTAAGGAACCGGATGGCTGGGAGAAAATCCAAGTTGAGTCAGACTCAAAATCCTGAAGAAACCGGGTAGAGCCACCTACTAGATCGGAAGTTTTTTTTTTTGTCGGGCGCTGCTTTCTCACGTCAGTCATCAAGACCGATGGGTACCAAAGAAGTCTACCCAGAACCATTTGTAAAGAATTCAGAGCCGAGGGCACCCATTTCTCTGGGTGAAATAACAAAAATCACCCGCCTGAAATGTTTGGTGGTAGGGCTATTCCCCACATCAACCACCTTTTGGGGTGAATTCGGTCGTGTGAGGTCGTTAGCTAAAAAAATCACCCCAGATTTATGCTTAGGATTGTCCCTTCACCTTCATCACAGTTTGCGTAGTCAGACGGTTTGGTCTGGTGCCTTGGACTTGAAGCCTTGGCCTTGGGTAAATGGGAAACCACTTTACACCTCAGTGCCTCAGATCCAAACCAATCAGAGGTTCCTCTGATCTGGGGTATCAGAAACTCCGTTCTCAGATTCTGTTTCATATCTAGGCTACCCTAAACTGGGTGAAAGTAGATGGCACAATTCCCGGTTGATGCGGGGGATGACCCCAACCAAAATACGAGTGTAGCTTCCCCAGTCTTTTCGTGGGTGGCATGTCATGTAACGGCCGTGTTGCTCCATATTTTTGTGGCACTTGTATCTCGTATGTGTATGACCTGCACTTTGCCGTGTAACATGTTTGCATAGGCTGTGTTGCGGGCTATTCTTTGCGGTGCTACTCCATGCGCGAATCAACTTTTCTGCTCACAGGGAGTCTCAGCTAGCCACGTGCATACTCTTGTGAAGCCTTATCCTACTAGATTATGCTCAAATTCTAACTTGGATTTGAAGGTCCTATTTGGCAAGGAATTCTATTTTATTTCTGAATTCAGCTTGAATTTCCGTATTGGACAAACTCTTTCTTATAGAATTCTATCAGCATTCTACTTGACTCTTAGTCAAATGTGTAATTGGGAAGGGAATTCAACCTGTTCAAATTCCAACTTCGAAGAGTGGGAACTGTGGTTTTCCTGTCTGGGCTCAAGTTTCATTCTAATTTGGAAAGGCAATTCTACTAGAATGGATGGACGAAATCCATGTCACACCACCGTTCAGAAGCGCTGGTTTCCGAGGGTCCCCCCTGCAAACGCCAACAAACGTTCTGGTTTCAACCCTGGCTTATCCTGCACCACCCAAGCAACCTTGGAATGATGATGTCCCTTTAAATGCCAACAGGTCTAGATGCTATGGTTTCAACCCTGATTTCAAGTCCACCGATGAACGGATTTCACCCAGCCGGCCCAGGGATGAACGGATTTCGCAGCCATCCCCAACCCCCACCCCCACCCCCACCCCCACCCCCAACCCCACCCCCAACCCCCCAACCCCCACCCCACCGGATGTTTTTGCTCTTGGCTCGGCAGTCCTTGGCCAGCTGCAGCTGCTCCTTGGCCACCTCCACTTGGGCCTCCAGGCGCCGCCGCGCGTGGTCCGACCTCCGGGCGCCGAATTGCTTCGGACGTGGGACGTCGCAGGGCTTGCGGGCCAGGCGGCTCTTAGGTACTTCCGGGCTTCAGGGGCTTCCGGGCGTGCAGGTTCTTGCTGGTGTTCAGGAAGGAATCAACCGAAGTTTTGGACATGAACCTCTAGGCCCTCCAGTAGAGAGGATAGAATAAGTTGGTGCCCGAGTTTTTCAGTTTTGTCTACTTTAGTATGGGAACCCTCCCAACCAAAAAAAGGTGAGAAAGGGCACTACTGCGGGACCTAGTTTCTATGGGGCCAAGAAAAAAGGCACCTTCTCCTTTTGGCCTTCCAAGTGGCGAGATTAAAGAACTAGTGGACGATTTGGCAGAGACACACGTTTAACTGGTGGATCTCCCTTTGGGTCTTTATTCTTTTGAGATGAAAAATCAGTGCAAAATGATGCGGACTCCATCTATTTCCAACCAGACTGAACTAGAGAAAGGACACCTGCGGATGGACACAAGTCCACGCAAGGCACCAGTTGGGATTGGTGGCTCTTTCACGTTAGTACTAAAGGCGTGCAACAGAGTGAGTCTGAAGCTGGAAACGCAAGCACGGCATATCTGCACAAACAGGTCGACCTAAGGAACCCCTAAGGAATCTTCCTAATAAGTGAGCTCGCTTTACTCGTTTTCCCCCAAGCTCAGCTTGCTTCCCCTGAGCACATGGATACGTTGAGCAGAATTCGGCCCAGAAGCTGCGGAGGCCCAGAAGAACATGGGATATATTTAGTACAGTACCACTATATTCGGCCGCCTCGTGGGGGGGGATCAAATGGAACATCTGTGATTCAAGTCCTCTTTTAAGCACCCCTTCGTTCTTTGCCTTAGGTCGTCATGCTTATGAGAAACTTTGTCACTTTGAAGAGGGACGCGGCACTGTGGATGGACAAATCCACTGCTAGGGGTGCATGCAGATGCTGGGATAAAGCACCTCCAAAAGACATCCTACAAGCGCTCTTGTTCACTGCTCTGCGACAAGGAATGCCTTCGGAACCCAAAGCGGTGGGTACGGATCATTCTCATATACCAGCACCTCAAAGACCCTGGATGTCCAAGTAAGGACCTGCATCATGCTGTGGCTGGACGAAATCCATCTGGCACCACTTGGGATAGGATGAAGCCTGAGAATGGTTGATAAACATAGGGCTAAACCTCCTACCAACCGCGAATCGGATTTTGTCCATCCTGTGGGTCCAAAGCCCAAAAGGAAACTTGCGGGGTAGGACTTTGGTACCAGGGTTTTGACCCATCACACGGTAATGTTGACACCGGATTTTGAAAACGCGTCCCATTTGGTCCATCCACAGCTCGATTTACCCCCCTGCCTTACCCTCCCCCATTGGTATCTGCCCGGCACCTGGCGGCTTCAAATTGCCGGAGGCGTTGGTCGCCGTGCCTGGACCCGACTTCGATCCCCCGGAAACTTCCGCTTGCCAAAGTGGAAGATCATTTTGGCTTGAACACGTTTTGAGCGAAATTGCAAGGGACCAAGGACCAATATACGTGGGCGCGTGTTTTTGTTGAGGCTTGGTGCCCCTGCTAGTGTCGTTATTTAAAGGGAAACAAAAGGGAAAACCACGAAACATGGGAGTCGCCTATTAGGAATGCACCCAATTGGGCTCGTCTTCTTACTTTTGAGGCTTGGTATTTTTTGGGGGAAAGTAGATCAACATAGCCTGTGTGCTTTTGGAGTTGGTACCATTTTGGGAGTTGGTTTAAAGGGAACTCAACAGGATAATCACAATTTTGGGTTTCACCGTGTAGACCATGTTATTTGTGTCGACTTCAATGTTGACTTCTGTTTCTTTTGGGCAACCAAAAAACAGTTTGGTCGATACAGTGCCTACTTTTACAAGTGTTTGTCAAGGTTCTGGATGTACCTCCTCGGGGAAACCAACAGGTTTTCATATGAGGGTGTGGCCAACCCTGTCACCTCGCGAGCCTCATGTCTGCGCGATCGTGGTGGACACGGTTTCGTAATTGAGCCATTCAGTGCTGTATCTACTACACAGGCATGCAGATATATATATATATATATGTATGTATGTATGTATGTATGTATGTATGTATGTTGATCGACTTATTTTATGCATACATATTATGTATCTATACACATCTATACACATGCATATAGGCACACATCTGTATACATGCACATAGATATACATATATATATATATAAATATACATCTATATATTCATATATATATATATGCACAGCAGGGTACGGCAATTTGGGTGTAGGGCGCATCTTTTATGGCCCGCCTGAGCACCCAGGTCTCTGGCTTCGCGGTGGATCCTGCAGCCCTGGACCACTCCAGAAAGGCCGGGTCCTAGCCAAAGGCTTCGTCAGTCGAGTCTGGGCCAATCTTCAGCTCAGGCGGAAGCATCGAAGTTAGCTGGGCTGCCCTCAGATCCCCCGCTACAAGTGAATCCCTGTTAGTGGGTTAAATGGCAGGGGGAAACAACAGGAAATTACAAATGAGTAAATGAGTAAATGGGGATTAAAAAGAAGAGGAAATAGTAGCAAAGAAGAGCAGAGAAGAGCAAATGAGGAGAATGCAAAGCGGAGTTTTTCAGTGAGGGCGCCAGAAAACAGCATCATCTATTTAGATCGATTTCTCCAAAGCTTCTCAGAAAACGGCAGTTTGGCGATGCAAAACGTTTCAGCAGACTGCCTGGATGAGGCCAAGCAATAGCAATCAGACCACCCAGCAATCAATCAACCAAACAACCAACCGATCGTGCCTCACCTGGTCAAATGCTCGGGAATTTCGCATGGCACCCGAAGGCCATTTGCCCTGAGGTTTTATTTCAAATTTTACCATTGTGGCTTTGGCTGCAACCCCAAGCCTACAGAAGCCCACCCAACAGCGCCACACCGTCCCTGCTGACGTCGTAGCTCTGCGTGGGCGCAGCACCAAACTCCGCGAGGATGGCGCTGCATGACATGCCTCACATGGCGAAACTCAAAGGCCTCCGTCTGTGGATGGTTGCGAAATCCGCTTCTCGCACCACCGTTCAGATACCCTGGTTTCTGCATCCGATTTCCCTGCAAATACTTGCAAACGTTATGGTTTCAACCATGGTTTCATTTCGTGGGAAATGGATCTCGCAACCATCCACAGTCTTTGGTGAAGCGATTTGCCGTGGGCGACCTTTCGCCGCCCCAAATTGCCCATGGCAATAGGATCCACCTTTCGGAACGCACAAAGACTAGACAGGCAGAAGGGAAGCAAAGGCTTGAGACGCTGGCCCCTTCGTTTCTATCCCTCAGCTCACCCCTGCAAATCCTCTACCATTGCTAGGTCTAAGTAACCATCAAGTGATTCCTCCCAAAGGTCTGGCTTCCGCTTTGTTTGGTTGGAACCCCCTTTGCTTGGATACAGGAAGAGACCACCTAGCTTTCCTCCCAGTGGGGGGCACCTGCAAAATCAGCTTCCACCAAACCAACCCTCAGGTGCCATGTCAGGTGGGAGGGCATGTAGAAACATGGAAGCAGCATCCAAAAACCCAGAAGATCCTTCAAATCAGCTGGTGCAAGCATGACTTTCTGACTGGCCAAAATGGGTGCTGCTCAGAAACCACTAAAGCCTCCCAAAGGCATACCTTTTATTTGCTCAAGACCCCTGACAAAAAAAAAGTAAAACCATATTTCCAGTAGTGATAGATTCCCTTTAAAGCCAGCAAGGGGAAGAACACATGGTCTGAAGCAAATGGATGATACCCCAGCGCATCCGACCACCAAACCACCCTCCGCCATGTCCCGTTCCGACGGGAGGCCTCCGAACTGCTCCGCCATGTCCCCTTCCAGCGGCAAAGGCAGGTCCGCCCACACCACCCCGATGGGACCTAAGGCTTTACCTCGGAGAAGCCCGCTGAGATGAGGCGTCCAAAGCGCCTCAAACGCCCCATGTTGCATGTTGTTTGTTTTATGTATATACAGAATATAACTCTACCAGGAGCCTCAAAAACCGATGAAAATGTCATACCTACAAAAAACACGATGTTTTGTGGGAAAACACGATGTTTTCGGGAAACACCGCATTTTCGATTGCAAACAGTTTCCCATACATTCCTTCAACTCGTCATCCGTTCTCAAAAGATCTCAAAAGCATCATCTCAACCTCAGAATCTCCCATCGCCCTCCCCTTTTGCACTCGCAACGAAATCAGCTTCGCATTCGCCACTCGTCTTTCGCAACTCCAACCTGAAAGAAGGAGGCCGGGGACCCAAATAGTCAAAAGTACCACGGTTTTATGACACTTGTCAAGCAGCAGTGCCATGATGAGGGCGTGCTGGCTTCGAACAGCGCGCAAGCTCAAGCAAAGACCGTGCTTTTGCTCACGACTTCGTTGTTTTCCAGCAACATTCTCGAATTAGCGCATTTGTGGTTGAACCCGAAAAACCCATAGAATTTCCACGCTTTGCCACGCTTTACTACGGGTTCTCCACGGTTTAGCTACGGGTTAGAAAACACGATGTTTTCCAAAAACACGATGTTTTCGGTTGGGGCTGCGGGCTTTCTACGGGGTGTCTACGGGTTTTCTATGGGTTTCTACGGGTTTTCTGCGGGTTTTCTGCGGTTAGCCGCCAGGATCCCGCCCCATTTGCTAAAAAAAAAACGCAAAATTGATAAAAACAATCTCAAAAGTGTCACCTGGTCTTGTTTTGCACCAAAAGGAGCTTTCGGATTCCAGCACCCCCTTCAAACTGGTTCGGTATGACCTGGCGCCAGTCTTCAGGTGCCTGTTGCTGTGAAAGGTACTTCAAGACTGAAGCCAGCTGCACACCCTGGCTGTCAGGCTCATCAATGTGGTCCTTAGAATTTGAAGCATACTCAGTATAGAGCGTTGCCCTCAGTTGAAATCTTAATGGGTGATGTCTGTGTGAATCCACTCCCGACCCTTGCCTTTGACCCTTTGCTCCAAATGAGTGTTTGGCCTCAGAAGCCAATTTTTAAGGGGTTTTATCAAAAACACGATGTTTTTCCTGAAAACACGATGTTTTCAGAAAATCGAGAAAAAACACGATGTTTTAGTCAGGGTACGACATTTTTACAGGTTCTTGAAGCCCTAGGTATATATATATATATAGGTACAGGTATAGGTATATTATACATACATAAAACGCATTTTAAATATGCGTATATATATATATATTATACCTACTGTCAAACAAGAACCGAACATCTTTGCGATAAGGCAATGGCTCACAGCAATCTCCAGACACTCTTCTTGTGTTGATACCAATCCCAGACTCCGCCTGAAAATTATGAATATCCCAGCACAAAGCCGTGGCCTGTGCAAATCTCAAGACCCGATGGTCTTCGGGACAAATTAAATAACCCGGTAGCCTCTGCAAAGCCACAAGCCATGGTTTTTCAGTAATAAAACTCAATACCAATCCGAAGAAGGCATGGCTCAAGAGCTGCAGTTCGGATCTGACAGCTTTTGCTGACTTTGCTTCCATGCGTTCTCGATACTGACGAGCCGAAAGGCGGAATTGCCACGGCACCCATTTCAAGGTCTGCCCGGGTTTCATTCCTTCGTGCACAAGGCTGAGCAAGCGGATGGATGGCGTGGTGTCTGCGTCGAGCAGCTCTCCCGGGTAGTTAGTCTTGAAAGTGCTAATAAGGCTGGGGACCCGTTCTGTCGTCAATTTGGGCACAGTCAGGGCCTTGAGCTCCTAATGGCTTGACCCTAAATCTTTCCCAAACGCCCATGTTCACAAACAACTCCACAAAGGGCGGTCCGAAAGCTGGCCTTTTTCACCATGTAGGATGCAAATTAGACTTAGACATAGGGGACGCGCAACGAAGAAAGACACCCCCAAATATAGATTCAGATCCAACCGGTTTCCCCTACATCCCAAACCACCTCAAAAAAGATGCAAAGCAAAAGCACACACCGGGTATAGACCCGTTTTAACAGTGGCCAGTGGCTGTATATCCCCGCAAAACGCTGCAAACGGCGGGTGGCACTTCTCGTGCGCCGCCAGCTCTGCCAGTCGCGCGATGGCCGTCGGCGCCTCCGCGGAGGCGGCGGGGATGCCGAAGATCGCCCACACGGTGTCCTGATCTTTGGAGCTCCGACCACCCTAGGGATAACTTAGCAGGACGTTTTGTAGGTGGAGTCCGGTTGAGGGGGTGGTTTTGGGGGCAGGTGGGAACTGGAGGTTTGGAAACCAGCCAACCAAATTATATAAATTCTAGGGGTTACTTCCATGTCCATTCTTTCCAGGGATCCGAATCTTTCTAGAAAACCACCCAAAACACTGAGGAGTGGTTGGTTATTGAAAAGAACGATGGCTGGGAATGGGGAATCAACCCCCAGAACCACCCTCCCCCCCTCCTCGGGCCCCGTGGCTTCATGCCCCAAACACCCTTTTTGCCGGGGAATCCTTTTGGCCCCAAAGACCCTCTAGGCAATTTGCAGTTGTGCCCCAAAGACCCTGTTTGACTCCACTCTGAAGTATAGAGAGGACCATCCGAACAACAGCACTGCTGGCTGCCGTTCGAACGCCCCAAAGACCGTAATTAGGGAATTTGCGTTTCTGGGTTTCATAGAAATATCCTGGCGGGAAAAGCTTCGGGAAGAACGAAAGCCAGTCCAAGGTTTTGGCTTCCAATTGTAAAGGCTTTGGGCTCCGATACAGGAGGCCTTGGTTGCGCAAGCTTTGCAGACCCTGCGAAGGATTCAGGGTGCTTCTGCCAGCGGGAACGGATGTTCGGCGTGGTCACACTCTCACCCGGGCGCAAACCCTGTGCCCCGCTCATGGAACTGGCTTTCCCCTCACAAAGCTGTCAGCGTTTGCAGGTTTACGCAACTTGGCCATCTGCTCACGTTTCAGCTTTGCCCATCCGCGCCAGCCTGGCTACATAAATCCAAAGGTCGCTAACTCACCCTTCCTTGTGCCATCAAATTTTGATTTCCCCCCACAAAACACATATCCATCACGTGCCCCAGGCTGGACCTCAGCATTCATGTCGCTACGTCCTGCATAAAAGCCACCATTTATGGCGTCCTGTAGAGAACTCTTTGAGGCATGGCTTGGGAGAACTAACGCCCTGCAAAGCGAGCTGTCCCAGGCTCCTGTCCTGTTGTTGCTCCATGGTGTGTCCCAAATGTGGGGGGATAGTTCCCCTTGTCATCCAAGCAGGCTAACACACAGACACACGGACACAAACGCACACACACACACATTCCCGCAGTTCTGGCCTCACCACTGGGAATTGAGGAAAATGAGTCACTAAATGTCTTCTTGTAGACGCTTCCATGCTGAAGCGGGGCCCTTCTAAAAGGAGCAGCCCACATGCCCCTGGTGGAAAACAGGCATGCTCGTTGGGGTTGGCCATCTTTAGTCAGGCCCGAACGCAAGCAAGGGATTCAGAACATGGAATCCACTGAACAACTGGTTGCACCCACTTGCTCCAAACACCCCTCACTTCTGGAGTTGATTAGCCCCAAAAGAGTCGCGAAACCTGTTATTTACCACTACTAGGTCCTCCAGTTGAGAGGATAGAATAAGGGTGCCCGATTTTTTCTGTAGTCTATTTTAGCAGGGGAACCCTCCCAACCAAAAAGGGTGAGAAAGGGCACGATTGGGGGACCTAGACTAAAATCTCCAATCAAACCCAACAAGTGCTCACTCGTCTGAGTTTTGGAACTCAGGCAGTGAGACCCCAGGTCTCCTCCTCCAGAATGGCCTTCCAGTTCTCCTCCAGACTGGTGACGTCCCAGGCAGACACGCAGCCTCTGAAGGCCGCCGGATACCTCAAGCCGCGGCTCGCGTGAGGGGAAAACCTCCGGAGGCGTCGGGTTTGGCTTTCTGGGTGCGAAATCGGCCTGGAAGTGTTGAACAACTCATCCCTGGAAGAGCCCTATTGGCTCCCTGACGTACAAACCAAAAGAAATAGGGGAGCCAGCAACAACCATTACCATCGTGCTTGGCAAGCACAACAGCAGCACCAAGAAAACAGTCCAAGAGTGGTGAAAAAGCACCCCATGCCCATGGCATGCCCATGGCCCCTCCATGGCCATGGCATGATTCAAAGAAGCTGAGAGCAAACGTAGCTTGACGTTCTCGCTTGAAGCTTGGTGATCCTGGTTGCGCGTTGTCCCAATAAGGCAAATAGCCTCAACATGGTATCCCCATGTATCCCCATTCATGTTAAACATGGCAACCAAAAACGTGCTCCTATCTAACACTGTGGCTTGACAAGTGCACACCTGCTCTCACTTCGGATTTCCAATGTCAGTCGACAGGGAGCACAAAGGGCTCCGAACCACCCCACAAATGACCATCTCCAGCGACAAACGCAGTGGGTAACCCTTTGACTTCACCGTTCTACTGTGTATCTCCATCCTACTTCCTTCGGACGCCAGGTTTGCCAGCGGAAGCATCTCCCCAAAAACCACACCCACCCAGTCCGAGTGGCTGGTGCTCTTCGCAGAAGTGCTGGAAGTTCAGATGGCGGCCCTCCCTTCGCCTGGCTCTGGCCCGCTTCTCGAAGAGGATCGCGGTCCGGTCCTAGGACCGCCAAACGAGGCAAAAGCCACGAGTCCGGGGTCAGAGGGGCAGAGGCAACCAGCGGAAAACACGCGAAAGACAAGGTTCTTGCGAACCTACCGGCAAAAAACACGACAAATGACAGGGTGTTTGCGAAGCAACCGGCGTTAAAAAACACCCGCGAAAAACAAGTTTTGCGAAGCAACCGGCCAACACACGCGGAAAAACGAGGTTTCTGCGAAGCAACCGGCCGGAAAAAACAAGGTTTTTGCGCAAGGCAAGGTTTTTGCGCAAGGCGCTCATGTCTTGTGCCAACGAAACATGGGAATTTTCGAGCTCCTTGCCCACAGCTGACGGGAATTCCCAGGCGCAGTGTGCGTCTTCCCGTAGCGCTCCTCCGCCAAAAGCACATCTTCCAAATGGCCTGGTCTGCGAATCGCGTGGTTCGTTTAACTCTGACTGGCGGCATTTTTTACCATCAAAGTCTCCTAAGTGGTGGGCGCAAGGGAAGAAACCGATTCCACTTTCTGACTTTGATAATCCCCAGAAACCGTCAAAAGAATAACCCCAGTCTGATTCTTTCGGCGGGCCGAATCCTGCAATAGTACGGATCATCATTGGAATGATGTTTGACCCGCTCGAGATGACAAAACTCCTTCATGAAAACCTGGCTTCACTTCAATCCCATCAGTTTCACGCCCATGTTCCTGTCTTCAACCTCCCCCGCCCCCGTTGCTTTTGTGACCCTTGGACCCCCATGCACTTCCGCCGGCCGGCAGAAGGCGTCCAGGAAGGGCGTGTCGGGTGCCGGTGCCGGTGCCGGCTCCAGCGCCGGACCTCGACAAAAATCTGCAAAGCCGCGGCCAAAATGGAGAACCACAGCCCAATGAGCAAACACAAACGAGCAAACCATCCCGGAGCAGTCTGGCCCATGGCCTATGGCACATCTCTTGCCCCAACATGACGCGATGGAACGTCTCTTCATTTGCTTAAAGGACATAGAACTAGGTGATCACATTTTGGGGCCATGAAAAAGGTCGGCTGTAAACCACACATTTGTGAGATAATTCACCGGCGCCACGCCGTGACAATACGTGGGAAAAAACCAGCTGTGTGATAGTAGGTGGCAGTGATTTCGTCATCCTTTCCTTCCCACGCACAGGGCATCGCTTTCATTCCGGTGTAAACGTTTGGGGGACATTTGTCGGGTGGGGCACCCTTCCGAGGTAAGAGGCAGCCTTACGGATTTTCATGCCCCCCCAACCTGGACAGAACCAAAAGCAGGACAACAACCCAAGACCAGGTGGTGACCATCCATGTGTGAAAAAACACGTCTGGGGGGTTGCACCTGTCAGACTTTTCGACACAGGAAGCTCACTTGACCTAGGCCAAGAAGGTTCGAGAAATGGATCATGGGATGATATAACAACTGACTGCGGGACGTAGAGATCTCCATCAAAATAACATCCAACATCTACCAACTGCAGGATGTTCAAGCACAAGAGCTTGCGAAGAGGTCCTACCATGGCCCTATTTGCATATTCAGGCTATACCCTAAAACATAGAACAGTTTTGGAAGAGAAAAGCCCCTACCTCAATTCTGCTATCTGTTTCTGCTGGGCTTACGGATGTTTTACTCATATGGCTGTGGGTTATTGTGGGTCAACACCCTGTACCCCTGGCTTAAGATGGGTGGCAAATGGAGGTTCATCCACCCCAAGATGGAGCCATAGGCCAAGGTGCTTTTCGCCTTGCCGGAGCGATCCTTGAGCTGGAACACCTCCAGTGACCGAAACAAATGAGGATGTTGGAACAACCCTCGGGCCCTGGGGGCTAGAACCATACTGGGTATTAGAACCCTAGGTTTAGACCGCTTACCCGGCTTGCCCTGGTTTTTTGTTGGTTCATTTGTGCCAAGTCTTCATCCTTGAGGCAAAGTGGCGGATGCACGAAGAATCACCCTGCTTTGTGAGAAAACAAACCCAGAAAGGCGCTGGCACCCTGTGGAAAACCTTTGGGACTGAAACACGCCTGCGCAAGGGTTCAACTGGGTGCGTCTTACAATATGGGACCTCCCAAAACTAATGTTTTCATTTCGGTTCCCCGTTAACAACCAGACAACGAGGGGCAACCTCACCCTTTCATGAGAGTACCTTTTCGCTGAGGTTTGTTTAACGGGAAGTCGCAAGGAGAGCCACCTTTGGAAGGTCCAACCTTCAAAAACACACCCCCAACCATAGGGGTCCTTTTGGTAAAATCGGTACACCCAAAAAGTGCTTAAAGTCCATGAGCTCGGGAAGTGAGAAGCCAAAAAGGACACTTATGCACCCACCTGTTTTGTCAAAAGAAAGGTAAAATAAGTGGGTTTCCCAGTAAAGGGGCAATACAACCGCTCTAAAAAAGCAATCCATTTCTAGCCAACCTTCACTCAGTTGCCCAAACGACCCGGAAATAAAAGGCTGACTTTTTGGGACCTTTACTAAAAATGGGCCAAGACGGGAAACCAAAAGGGTAAAGGGTTGGCTTTGGACAACTGAGTTCAACAAACAAAACAAACCTCGGTTGCTTGCTGCTCCCCTGCTAAAAGTGAATAACTTTTAGTGGTTTAATGGAAAACCCATTAGTTGGCAAAAAGTTAAAGTCCTAACATCCCTTGGCAACATGCACCAAAGAAACCGCTTCGGCTCGCCCTCGCCTCCCAGGCCCCCACCACGCTTCGGTTGGCTTTCAGCCGGCCGTTGGGCTCCGCCGCCACGTAGCCGCAGCTGGAGGTTTTCAGCGCGCAGCGCTCGCAGTCGAGGCACTCCAAGTGGAACTTGGAGTTCTCCTCCAGCTGACCTGAAGCAACTGGGCTTGCGCCTGTTGGTTTTGAAGGCTACAATTGTGTCTTTGTCGTTTGTTTTTTAAACGCTACAATATATGGTCCAATTGGGCCGTTTCGCTTTTTCACTGGCTGTGAATGCCCTTTGAGGGGAGCCTTGTTTCCGCTTCGCTTCCTTCCTTTTTTACACTAGAATGGTGCAAGTTGAAGAAGTGTACAAAGTTCGGGAACTCGGGACGTAAGGCCAACTGACCGAAAAACTGTTTGGCATGCACCCCTCCGAAGATTTAGACTTTTAGGGCCTAAGGTTTTAGAATCCCTTCAAGCGGTCAGTTTGGTTTGAAGGGACCTTCAATTGCTTCAGTTTGTCCACTGAGGTTTTAGGACTTAGGGCTCTTGGGGCTTGTCAGCGTCAGCTGAATCGACATGATTGCTGAGCCAACTGACCTGCCCCCTCGTTGTTTCAGACCCTACCAACTTCCAAAATCAAGGTCGAAGTTGGCTCCCGCTAACCTGAGTTAATGAAAGGCCAAGTTGCTCACTTCCCAAGTTGACTGGCCAAAAAAAGTTTGAACTGTTTATTTGCCACTAAAATGGTCTTTCCAAAAAGTTTAACGTCCACCAACTCAGGAAGTGAGAAGGCCTATGGGCTTCTGTTGACCTCTGCAAAAAGTGTTTCACTTTCCGTGGGTTCAAACATACGAAACACCCCTTGAATTCAACCAAAAATGGTTAAAGTCTAAAGATCCGTTGCCCAAAAAAGCAGTCAAGTATTGGGGCCTCACATGGCCATGGGTCAAAAGCCCGTACCCCCAGTGAACATCCCAATCCCCACTAAAATAGGTTCTAAGATGGGTGGTGAATTCACCTACCCCAAGATGGGATCCCAAAACGGTTTTGACATGTTTTGACCACCACCGCCACATGCCGGGGAGAAAAAGAAAAAAACGCATCCGCCTCCGTTTCGCCATCCGAGCCCGCCTCCGCCTGCGGCCTTGAGGTCCCCGTTCCTATCCACCGCCACCAGGCGCCCCGAGTGGCACTTCAAAGACACCCGGCCGTCCTCGTGGCGCAGCAGCTCGAACTTCTCCGGGTCCTGCGGAGGAAGTCGAAGCAGCGAAAGGGGGCGGGGGCGGGGGGGGGTTGGGGTTGGGGTTGGGGTTGGGGTTGGGGGGAGACCGTTGGATGGCTTACACCTGGTTTCGTGGTGCCCGGTTGTTGGGTAAAATTTCAAGGATATGATTGATCATGTACTAGTGAATTAACCCATAGACCTTACAAAGGTTTACTTTGTGTGGGTTTAGTGAAAAAACCTTGACTTTCCAAAAAGTGAAAGTCTACGGATCCGTTGCGCAATAGCAGTCAAGATGAGGAATTTGGATTGCGGACGACGAAAATCGCGGGAGACGTGTGTGTTGAAACCGTTGGATGCTTGGGCTGCCCTCAGATTCCCCGCTGAAAGTGGGTTTAATGGAAACTACCACTATAAAGACTAAAAGGATCTAAAAGGCTAAAAGGCTAAGGAACCGGATGGCTGGGAGCCAGCAAGTCTACACCTGGTTTCAAGTGGACCCTGGAACTCAGAAAGTGAGGAAAGGGACCCCCGCCGGTTTCTCGGCCAGCATGCCTTTTTGGTTTCCCCGAATCAAAAGTCGATGATCTTCTTGCTAGTTTCCATGAAACCCTAGGGAGTGGCACAACCCGTATTTCTTAAGAGTTTATTCTATATTTGGTGCGCTTTTTACTCCACTCGCCTTTAGTGGAAATAGAAACTACTAAACCAACTAAAAACATCTAAACACTTTCGGAACCGAACGACTCGCTGGTTGAACCGCCGCGGAACCGCAGACGCGTGGGTTGAACACGGAGACTGCCGTACTAGACCAACTAAAAGCATCCAAAAACCTGAAAAACCTGAAAAAAACATCTTGGGGATGGCTGGCTCCCTTTAAAGGGACATACCTCGAAGACGTCCGTCCGCCTATCGGTCCGTCCTTGACGATGGAGCTGGAGGCCCGGAGCTCACCGTTCTCCTCTCCATTCCGGGCGCTTTTTAACGAGAATTTGAACCATGGCACCTAAAACGGGAGGTCCCGTGGGGAGATGTGCTTCAAAACAGAAATGAACACCTGAGCCGCAATCAAAACCGAGTACTAACATGGTCATCCCAGAACCATGTACAGGATGAAGAAGGCGGAATTCCGCAGCTATTTTGGGTTGGGATCGTCCCTTACTAACCTTCATCTGCCCAGGTTTTGATTGTGGCTCACCTACACAACTAAGAAACGGTCAGCACTGGTTTTGGTAGTTGATTTCCAAGCGGCTCACCTGATCCAAAAATAAATCACGACATACACAACTCGTGTATGCTCCCTGGCCAAGAAATTAATTGGTATGCTCAACATTTGGGCCACAAGATGCAAACAGGAACTCCTCATAGCTTCCCAACCCTTGGCATGCTGGTAAAGCACTTCAAGGCCTTTGGAAGGGAACACGCAACAAACAAACGGGACGAAATCCTACACCAGATTGGAACCATGGTTGCAACCCGTAACGTTTATTAGTATTTGCAGGGGGGGTCGTGTCATTCCGCTGGTGCGAAACGGGTTTCGCAACCATCCGCAGTACGGAGCAAGAACCGTGAAGCTCCAGCTTTTTTTTGTATCACTCCTCGGGGCCATCGGCTCTGTGGATCTGTGTTGCAGGGCATGTTTGAGATGCTTTGGGAGAAGCTTTCGGCCCCCAAGCATTTTCTTTCAAAGCCGGGGGGCGCTTTCGCCTTCGGAAGCCCAGAGGTCGTTATTTTTGACTGCTGGTTGAGTCTGGCTTCCCTTAGGCCTTCGCCTGCGAGAGGGTGACTGGCTAGCAGACCCCTGCAGTCCACCCATTTGCCCGAACAAACCTCCAAACTGAGCTGCGCCCGTTGCTTGGGCAGGCCAAGTGACTTCTCACTCACTAGACACTGGGGAGGAAAGGGAAAACGGGCCCATCATTAATCAAACAAAGCCTTCGTCTGCAACTGTGCTCTCACTCCCTAGACACCGGGGCCAAAAAACACACAAAAAACAACGTCGCCTGCACCTCGCCTTCCCTTCGACTGCCCTCGCGTTCCGCGGATCCCGCGGATGCCTCGCGGAGGTGCTTCCCGCTGTGGCACTTCAGGGCGACGCAGCTGAAGTTCGGAAGCTTCCGCTCCCCTCAGATCGAGGCGCTCGTTCCTTGGGGTCGCCTGTCCGGGACTTTGGGGGGGCCTTGTTGGGAAGTGGCCATGGGTCAAAAGCCCGGTTATCCCCCTGTGAACATCCCAATCCAACCACTAAAATAGGACTAAAATGGGTGGTGAATTCACCTATCCCAAAATGGTACCATTGGTTTTGACCCACAGCCAAGTGACAGCTGACCAAAATGGGACATCCCGTACAAGAGAGCCTGCCAGCTTCCCATAGTGCCCCCAAGCGGGGTCTTGGGAAGCCTGACAGACTTTGCCAAGAACGCAAGCAAACAAGAGACACAAAGAAAACCAAGCCCGGCTACCCGAACTGCCATGAAGCTCACTGCTCCCAACATGCCCTCAGTGCTTTCCGGGCCGCTGGGTGGGGCTTCTTCCACACTTGCTGCTTCCTTGCGCTAGGGTCCAACGGAATCGCCCGGCGAATTTCCCATGGCTGCTCCCTTGAGAGCGAACAAGTCAATCCAAATGGAGCCCTCACGCGGGGTATATGCCCAACACCATGGGTAGAAGAACCTATGCACGTGTTAATAGACGGCGTTTGCCGCTACTTGCGCTTTGCGTGACTGAGTCTGAAGGTCCCAGGTGTAGATCGTGGCTCTGGTGAACTGCTGATCTACTTGGGAGTTGGACATCCCCCGAGTCTCAAACCTGCCCTCAGTATCGCTTTTGCTTCCCCACCAAGGCCTTCCAAATCCTTTGGGCATCCCCAAATCCCCCATGGCAAACAGATTCCATAAGAAGCGGGTTCTTCGACCAAGCCCGTCCTCATAGCCTCGCCCTTTGCGACGGCCTGCCAAACCATATGCAGCGAAGCTGCCATCAGCTCGGGTGGGAAGGGAATTGATTCATCCGACTGATGCGAAGCTTGCGATTTCTCACTTGAAACGCAAGCTGCAAATCAACAGTTCTTCATGTTGAAGCTTAACTAACAATGAACCAAGATGGCATAACTGCCACGGGGCAATTCAATTGGCCAGCGGGGTTTGGTCCCACCTCATGACCAACGCGCTTCAAAGCTACTCTTTCGGCCTCACCCCAAGCTTCCCCCACGGTGGATGGTGAGTTTTTGGGCGAGGAAGTGTTGCTTTCAGAATTTTGCCGAAAAGTACAGGTGCTTTTTGCCCGCAAAACACTCACAACTGTCCGCCCAATTGCCGCAATGGTGAGATCCCTGTGAGAAATCGACCTTTACAGCATTGACGCAGGGTTGGCTGCGCATAGTTTGGATTTTGAGTCCCTCAAAATCCAGCGCAGGCTGGCCTGGGAGGGTGAAGGTGATAAAGACTGTTTGGATGAATGATCAAAATGCTTCGATGTGCAGTTTCTACCAAGGCCATGTTGATTGGGCGAGCGTATGCGCGTGGCTCATGGATCTGGATGGTGAGCCTCAACGGCTCATTTTCGAGATCAACTGATGGACACGGCTCCCTATATTTCCCCATAAAACATCACCCCCACCAAAGGGACACACCTTTCATGGGCCAAAAAGGTGACGTTTATCTCACGGGCACACGCGTCGGAGCGAGCGCCGACATACGGGCCTGCCGGCGCCGAGGCCAAAACAAAACCAAAACAAAACCCCGGCACTTATGGCCGAGGGCAAGACGCACTCCAAGGAGGAGTGACAAAGGAAGGCAACCAAAGAACAGGGCCGCGGCCAGGGCGGATCATCACACCAAGCCAGGGTTGTGGGGAATGACCACTTCTGTGATGCAACAGAAAGGGCTTCCCAAAGACTATTTTCTTCATATACAGGGGGATTCCCTTGTATCACAGAAGTGGGGAGAAACCCCTTGATCCCACAACCCTGCACCAAGCCGAAGCACCGCAGAGGAAACCCCCGCAGCGGCCTTTGCCGGAGCAAAAGGCGCAAAAAAATAAAGCGAGACAAGGGCGGGCCGTCACACGAAAAGTGTTTGTCAGGGACAAGCCAAATTCGGGTCAGGCCCGCCCTTTATAGCATGCGGATATCAGAACCGACAAAGCATCACGTAGCCACAAGCTCATCGCAACCGGCTCACCAGCTCAGCCGGACCACGCTCCAGAAGCGGGAGGCGCAGTTCAAATGCGGGGCACCATCCGGCAGAGTCTGTGAGACAGAACATCAGGAGGTCAAGTGCAAGGGGTTTCGGTAGCCCTCACAAATGTTCACGTCCAGCACAGAGGGACCGAAGAGCACCAAATGAACTGGGAGGAATCGCACATGTTCAAAGAAGTAGCAGAAATGCTCGCCCACACGGCCACATAGAAGAAAGTGCTCGACCGTAGCCACGTAGGCGAGGAAGAAGCCACAACGCAAATCCAGGTAATCCACAGAGCTCTCATTTCGGACAAAACTGCACACCACACCGAAAAGGACGCTCTCCTGGCCGGAAAGTTGATCATGAGGACGCAGCGCCCCGCCCAGGGGAAGGCGGGTTTTGTGGACGTCCGACCTTCCATCGGAGGAATGGCGGGACCCTGGGGCGCGACTCCCTGAGGCAAATGGCTTTTGAGCCGAGATGCCTAAAAAGGTGACGTTTAAAACCGCCCAACAGGGAAATATAGGGACTGCTGATGGACTCGAGCCTCGCTTCTCGTTCTTCTCGCCCTCGTTCCCCTCGTTCCGGCGAACCATCCGTCATGAGGTTGGCATCGCGACGGGCAAACGTGGAGCAGCGGTGTCCGTCTTGGTGTTGAGGCTCGGTTTGATCATTGGTGGCCATGGGTCAAAAGCCCGTACCCCGAGTGAACATCCCAATCCCTACTAAATGGACTAAAATGGGTGGTGCACCTGCCACCTCAAGCAGGTTGAATTGCTGCCTTGCACCAGCAAAAGTGATAGCTTACAATGACCAGAGCAAACCATAATGGCACTGCGTATCCAATTTAGAATGATACCGTGGATCGAATCATTGTTTGTTGGCGTTTCCAGGGGGGGATCATCATTCCAGGGTTTCTGAAAGGTGGTGCGAGAAGCGGATTCCGTAGCTTTACAGTAGATGCTGCCCCTACCTTGCACCAGCAAAAATGGTAGCTTACAATGACTAGAGCAAACCATGATGGCACCGCTTATCCAGTTTAAATGATACTGTGGATGGAATCACTGTTAACCAGGGGAATCATTCCAGGGTTTCTGAAAGGTGCGAAATGTCAACAGCTTTAGCTTCTGCCCCGCATTTCGTGAATCCTTCTTCTCGACATGTTAAATTTGCGAGGGCTTGGGCCCTGGCTGGCGCGGAAGGGATCTCAACATCCGGCAAAGGAATGTTTGGCCTTCTGAACAGGGGATCTCACGTCCCATCGAGTGGATTGGCCGCAACAAGTTTGAGTATTTTTTGTACCACTAAAATGGTCTAAACCCAAACAGTTTTAAGTCCAGGAACTCAGGAAGCAAAAAAAAACAAAGTGCGGGGAAAACATGGCCCCTCAGCGCAACACGTGGGATCCTTCACGTGAACAGGCGCCCGCTGTCTTTTCAACTTGGGCATTGGGCAGCCTCTGACGCCAGAGTTTTGTACATGACAGCACTCAGCTGTAGTAGTAGAGGTTCTCCTCCTCGGATGACGCCATGCATAAGACGCTCCAATGCGCTAGAAAAGAACAACTTGGCCCATAGGGATTTGATGGCGGCCAACCGAACCCCTTGAGAATGCTTGGCGTCCTGCACTTTTCCTTTCACCCGCCACAAGGGGCTTCCAACATGTTGAGACACGTGGGAAGAAATCAACAACTCTACTGGCGAATCCGCAGGCTTCAACCAGGGCCTATCGAACCAGGCCCATCTTCTCGGAAACTTCATGTCAGCTTCTGACACCAAATTCGGGCGCACGCCTTTTTTCTGCTCGGGACACCGGAAAACGGGTGCTTTTTTGTCCTGCTTCGATGAGAAAAACCGGCTTCCTCCGGCTTCAGAGGTGCAGAGGTTTTTCACCCAAAGCCATCAAGACTCCAGATTAAAGAAGGGCTGGGGAGGCAAAAACCTTTTCACAGGCCGTGGTTGAGCAAGATCACACACAAATTGATAACTTACTGGTGGGTTCCGATGAAGCCAATCCACCAACATCCAACTACCTGTGCCCTTGCCCAACCAACAGAATATGGCTGATATGGGTCACATTTGCCCTGGAAAGATGTTCATGGCCCAATTGTTTCCAAAAAGCAACCACCAAAAGCTACCACCACCTAAAAAGAACCCTTGGCGCCTCAAATAACCGTCCAAGAAACGGATTCTTGCCCCAGAATTCTGGGCTGAGACATCCCAAAGACTCCATGCATGCAATAATTACCCACATGTATCCCCCAAACTGGTCAAATGTTTTTTTTGCACTACCTACACGGATTGTGTGGACACGTTGAGGTTGTTTCAGTGTTCACCTGCCCATCTTCACCGCGGGAAATTCTGGAAAGCAGCGCGAGCCCGCCGAGCGGCGCTGGAGAGCGTCGTTAGCGGGCGACAGCTGCCGGCCCAACTGTGCCAGCCACCGTCGTAGTCCAGCTCAAGCACCACCTGACGCGGGGCGAATCACGCGGCCATGGAGCCCTAAGGGGCTATTGGGAGGGGCCATCCCTGCATAAATAAGCCCAGGATAAGCCCTTAATAAGGCCTTGCTAAGGGATTAATAAGGGGTTGACAAGGGATAGCCTCTCCTCCCCATAGCGCCCCTGAACAATTGCATGCATATACATAAATAACTATACATGTTGATTCAAATGGTGCATCAGAGATGGCTAAATAAATCATGCTAGAAAAATCATGCATGTGTACATACGGTGTATAAATATTATATATATATATATATGATGTGCATGTTTGTGTGTGTGTCATGCCGGATGCATGCCCCCACATGGACGCTGTGTCTTCTCACACATTCGCTTTAGCGAGGAACCCAGGCATGCCCGACGAGAGTCAAGCCTTCGATGCGGCCGGGCGAGTCGTCCAAGCCTTTGGGGCTTGGCGTCGGAACTGGCAAAAGATGCCAAAGCCGGTCCTCAGACGCAAAATGGCCAAACATTGCCAAGTCCAGGCGCGAACAACCCATATGCGTCAACTAGAGAGTCCGTTCCGCTGGTTTCTCCATGTGCCCCTCCCAGCTGAACCATGCACCAGGTCCATGTGTGAACAACCCATATGCGTCAACTAGAGAGTCGCCCTGGTTTCTCCATGTTCCCCTCCCACATGAGCCATGGACTGATAGAGGTTCTGACTGATCAGGAAAAACACCGCAACTCGAGGGTCGATTGGAATCTTGGAATCTTGGAATTTGCTAATGGAATTCGAGATGGCCCTCGCATGCGCAACTTTGGGGCACTTACGGCCCTCCCAAGATGGTGGTTTTCCTTTTTCTTTTTTTTTTTAACCACCCCCCCCCCCCCCCCCCCCCAAAAAGCGTGCCCTACAAAAGCCAGACCCAGACACATATTCTGCCCCACCCCCATATTGACATGCAAAAGTGCCTGGCGGATTGATTTTGACCCATACTCAAATACCCCTAAGCTTTCATACCCTATTTTTGCTCTGTCTTACTCACCCTGAGGTAGCTCGACTCGAGATTGGTACGGGGTGACCCTTGACTTTTGAAGGAACCCCCTTCCCACACGAATCCGGGCTGACGAATGCGAGGCTCGACAGTCTTAGAACTCCCGTTTGCAAACCGCAAGTCTTAGCCCACATCTTGGGGCATTGTTCGGTATCCTATGGGGGGGGGTCTTTTTGGGAACCCATTTTTGGGAAACCAAAGTGTTTCAACCACTAGGCTCTGATTTCGAGACGTCATTTAGAGTCCTTGCCTTTTCTACTGTGCTTTCCGAGACCCCAAGAATCCAATGGCTTCATCTGCGGCGGCCCTTCTTGTCCTGCGACACTCAGCCCAGGCGCACGCTGGTGTGATGGGAATGGTAAAGCCGCACCCAGCCGGAAAGCTCCGCTAGGCATTCCTCCCCGAACTTCTCTCTGGCCGCCTCGACACGGGACCGCTGGGACCGCCGGGACTTCCCGGCCAGCATGCCTTGTCTAGGTCCTCCAGATTCGAGAGGTTAGAATAAGGGTACCCGATTTTTTCAGTTTTGTCTATTTTAGAAGGGGAACCCTCCCCCAAAAAAAGGTGAGAAAGGGCACTACTGGGGGACCTAGTTGTTTTGGGCCCAGCCAACAAAAACGGAGGGCAAGCTCTTGGCCCCTTTTAAAGGGGGGAAGCAGACACCAAGACAACTGCCGGCATTTGACACGAGCCACTCTGCCAGAAGACAACCTCGCGACTTTCTGCGGCGCCAAGCGTTCTGAGTTTTGCCCCCTGATCGGATCACGTCGCACCACTTTCACTGATACACCGATAAACCTACCACTTGCGCAAAGTTGAAATGCCCCTCGTTACGCATCTCGGTCCAGAAAATGTTACATGCAACTGAACAAATCGTGGACAACAAGAATGCGTGCAAGCAGATTCCATCTTGGCAATTGACGATGCTGGCATTCAGAGTTTGCATCTCCCTTCGCCTTACCCTTTTCAAAACTGGGAAGTTGCTTTCGGCATTATATCTAGTCTCCTCATTACTACTGCCGCTTGCAAAAAGCATGCTGTGGGAGCCCCGATGCACTCATTGGCTCCTTGGGGCCAAGTGAGACTCACTTCCGATCGAGTGGGCCGGCCAAAAAAAAACGGTTTACCCTCCCACCAACTAACATGGAAGTGCAAAAAGGCCCTTTTCAAGAGGAAAGTAGTCTCTCTACAGGGGTCTGTGCACTTCCATGTTGGCTGGTGGGAAGGTGTTTGCCACTCAAATGGCAAACAAACCCAGAAAGTGACGATCAAGTCCGAGTCCCGGACAGCTCAGGTCCCGCTGCTTTTTTCCCGTCGACTTCTGGGGCCAGGGTTCCGTGTTTTTTTCTACCTTGCAGACTTAAGCCCAGGGGTTGTCTTACTTTTGGGTAAGCCTTGGACTACCTTGGGGTAGACTTCAATCAGGGGTTTCCAACCTGGATAAGCCTGCACCCTATCTGAGGCCCCCATCCGAGTCCCGAGTTGCCTAGGACCTCTCCATTCCATGTTTCCAACGCTTGATTCGAAGCTAAAGAATCATTGTCAAAAGCTTTGTGCAATAAAATGAGGCATTCCAATTCACAAGCACGCATATCTGGCTATAACCGCCAAAACCCCGCGCCTCAAGGAGCTCCAGAAGGGCCACGCGCTCGCTGTAGGACTGGCAGGACCAGCCCCGAGCGTCCACCGGCCGCAGCATGGCCTTTCCATCGCTCGGAGGGGGAGAGAAAGGGAGGCGAGGCAAGGGTTGCTACATCTATGTGCGTATCCATACATATGTGTATATATGGCAAAGGCTATGTTTTGAGTATACCTGCTATATGATCCATGTGTGTATCTCTCTCTCTCTATCTCTCTATGTATGGAAGCTATGTTATGAGTGTATCAAGTGGGCCTACTCAACCCTTGGCCATGCACAAATGTTGGCAATTTCATGGAATGATTGACGAATCTAGGTCATCAACACGTCATGTTAAGTTGCGTATATCAATACGCCATGTGTGTATATATATATATATATGTGTGTGTCTGTGTTGGTGCTATGTTTCACATATTGTCTCTTTTTTGGGATGACGATGTCCTTGTGGCTTCCTTCCTGAACCAACAAACAAGAGAGGATACCAACTCGACAAAACGACGAGCCGCCCATATGTTAAGTACGTCATATCTCCAAATGCCAACTTGATCTGTTCCGAAGTTT